TTAAAAAAAAACTGTATAGCAGATGATTTAAAAATATTCCTTAATTATTATAAAACATATAAAGAACAGATAACAGAACACTTAATTTAATAAAACAAAAAAAGTTAACTGTCATTTCAAGCCCCTCTGAATACATTTCCCTAAACTTATACATAAACTATGAAGTTCCAAGTTCCAAAGTTCAAACCTTTTTAGATTTAAAATCAAACATTAAAAATACACTAAAAAAATTGTTGATATTTTAAAAAAAATGTATTTATCCGTGAATTAAAATTAATCGGATGACAAATTTAAAGTATATATAGTGATCATGTTACATTAAAATTTTGTTTAAAATATGTTTCGAATTTTTGCAATTTAATAAACTCTTTTGAGAATATAATACCGATAAATGAATGTATTGCCTTAAAATTGACAAAATTGGCTATATTTTTTTTTATTACGTATATAATGATTTCTCTAAGATCAATTACCAAACCGTGTAACTTTTCAGTTGTCACGTTTTCAGCTTGTACCATTGAGTTGGCCCAGTAATTGTCCATTTGTGTTGTTCTGAAGTCTTCAAACATTATGTTTTTTATTATTGGGCCGTCAAAAAATTGCTTTACAGCACACTCGAGGTATTTGTTTAATAATTTTTGAAATTTTTTTACTCTAAGTAGACTTAGGCGTCTATTGTCTGAAAATCTAAGAAAGAACTGAACTATCCCGGGTAAGTATTCGTCATGCCCTAAATCTAAAATATCTACAAAGATCGATAGTTGATTTGCTATTTCCTTGTTAAAATCCAGAATTGGTGGAATTCGGTTTGTAATACAAGAGTCTTTGGGCATTGAATTCAGTATTGTTAACAGATACTTGTTAATCAGTTGTAACGGGATTACTTTTAACAATTGAATGAAGTTCGAATGGAATTTTATCAAATGGTTTATTTGTTGGACCAGAGACGGGAAATAGTCGGTTTGAATTGTCTCTTGCAATTCTTTGAAACTTAACAAACTGATCTTCAAAGAATTACAATCCACATTTTCAGGTAGGATCAGCAACCCTTGAGATTTGAATTTTACTTCATTCCAATTACTATTCACGAGCAATTTTCTAATTAAATAGTTCAACTTGCCAGATTGGTCAAACACGCCTTTTAAATGCAATACGTCTAAAGTATACGTATTGTGGTTCATCGAATTCATGCCCATACTGTCGTTAAAATCTAATTGTTTAAGTATGATGTTTCGGGTGTTGTTTAGTAGCATGGTCCATTCGTGAAAATCCATAGTTTTACTCGTATTTTCCGGCCAATCACCAAACACTTCTTCTTTCTTATAAGATAAATGTTTACACAGTGGGTCTAGAATAAATTGATTAAGAAGATTTATAATGGATTGATAGGCAACCGCTAACATTCCTTTTTCGTGTAAACTAAAATTTTTTTCGGGATGCCTCATGATTTTAGCCATTTTCTCTGTAAAAATTAGATACACCCACATGATGTATTTTGCAGTAATAAATTTTTTATCGTTATGCGTTGCGGTCAGCATACGTTGTGTTTCTTTTACAAAAGAATACATCTCTATTTCGTCGGCGGTCAAATTCGGCTTAGTTTCGAAAAGCAAATACCATTTAAAAAAAGTCGAATGAATATATATATTCAATATGTAACTACACTCCAATGTCGTATACAATTCCACTAAAATTACTTTTAAATCAACAAGTGTCATGTCTTTAAACTTACTAGTTAGAATATGTTTATCGCGAATATTTCCGTGTCCAAAATCGAGGTCGGCCGTTTGTTGTACTCTTTCAAGATAGTAATCCATCTCTTCAATTTCATTATCAAAACCAATCGTGCACGAGACGAAGTAAGCCATGACAATTAGTGTCGTTAAATTCATAGCAAAACACAATGTTTTGGGACTTTCAGATGTATAGTCTCATTGATATCAATAACCGTTTTTACAAACGCCCTTTAAATAATTGTACTGAGGAGCTTATAATTCTACGTACATGTGCGTATTCCTAAAAATGTACCTCATCCAACACCTGTATACATACAATATACTATGCTTCATAACTGAAATACTAAGATATTTGGAATATCAAAACAATGGAAAAAACAAAACATTTTGAAATATTTTTTTTAAATTTGGATTTTCAACATAAAAATGTAATGTAATGTTGAATTACATTACATATTTAAACCTGTAAAATGGTGAACCTTCGTCTTCAATTGTGTGTAGATGACGTGTAGAAGGTTAATATAATATATATGGACATCTGTGTACATGCCATCGATATTGTTGTTTACTTGTAACAATAAAGTGTTCTACGAATTAAGTAACACGAATATTGAAAATACTTATTTTTTGTTGATTTCAAGAACATGTTTCTGTTTAAAATAATTAGTTAGAAAAATAGTTAAAAACGGTATTAAAATCAGTATTCAATAGACACAAAAATTCCAATTCAAACACGTTCTCTGGACAAAAATGGTCGATTACCACGTACTCGGTATTACCCATAAATTGTTGATGAAAAAATATATACAGACGAATTGAGAACTGCCTCCTTTTTTAAAGTATGTTAATAAAAACAATATGTGAATTCTGTCCAGTGTTTTTAACTAGGTTTAATAAACGTTTTGTATTATTACTACATTTTCCAATTTTCAGTATGTTATTGTGTAAATTGGTCGTAATTTTACTGAAATATTTTTTATTGTGTAACAGTTTAGTATTTGAACTTACCGAATATTAAAAAAAAACCAGAATTAAAGCCGATTTAATTAATTATTCAGACAATATACACTATTTATTCAGTAGTCTCCAAAATAATGTTGTCACTTCTTTTCTGCCTTGTTTAAAAAAAATAAAATAAAAAGGGTATGATTTAAGTACAAATTCTATATTATCAACGTGTCTATTAATCTAATGTTGTCAGTATAATTTCATAAACGTACAATTTTGCTGTAACGATCAAATCGAAAATAGATCAGGCACTTCCGTTTAGGAGGTTGTTTTTGGTTATTGGCATTTGACAGTTTTAATGGTCAATGCAATTAAATATAAAATAAGAAATTGAATGTTAAAAATCACTCCAAAGTCCGAAATAACAAAAGTTTTATATGACGTCAATATTTTGAGTACATTATGAAATTGTATTTTATTGTAAACATTTTTAATGAATGTAAATGGTCTTTTACAAATTTTGAGCGCAAAAAAATAATCGCATAACCCGAATCAAAAATTAGGAATTTTACAACACTTAAATTTATTAATTAAATTCTATATAATTTACAACATTAATGTTTAAAGCAATTATTTTTATAATAATAACGATCAAAAATGTACTTTAATTTAAGTCATATTTAAATGTAGAATTATGTTTTGAAATATTTGAAACATTATAAATAGTACTGTTTGTTTAGTAGGTATAAATTGTTTTTTTAAAAATTACATTCAAATATACGAGGCTAGTCGACAAATTTGATTAAAAAGCAAAACGTTAAAACTAAGAGCACACTGCTTTTTTAAAAAATATTTATCATAATATTTTGTTATCATTCAACTAAATATTACTTTATTTTTAATCTTAAAACCGGAAAACCGGTTTATTACGCAGAACTCCTGTCGCGTCCAGTTTATCGCCCGTCGTTGTAGTCGAATAGAAATCAAATAAAAATGTAAAAAGTTTTTATTAATAATTTCAATAATTTTCTTATCATCCTGTACCGAGTACCGACAGTAAAATCACGCGCAGCATATATTTTGGGTCGTTTATTGTGAAAGTGGTGTAACTACAAATTTTTAAAATATACATATTTTTGCTTAATGGAGTGTCATTTAGTCATATCTCTCATTATAAAAGAGAAACAACTCCAATAAATGAAAAAATAAATAAAATTGTACTGTTTTTCCTACAAATTAATTTACAAATAGCTCGTTATTAAAAAACTCAATTACAAGGAAATAATTCACTTTTATAATGAACGACACATTTTCTTTAACAGTGAGCTATCTATAGTACCATGTATATTAGTATACGTATCAATTATATTATTCACCAAAAACTTCTATCCTACCGCTTATCTGTACATTGATTATTGTTCTAAAAACAATGGTAATACGTATTGCGTTTTGGCACGGAATAGATAAAAGCAGAACGGTCACTTTCATTGTAAATAAAAGATTGACGACCATTTAAAGACATATAATTATTTTAGATCAGCGGAATCTGATAAAGATACATTTTTTGTTTATATTGACTATTTTAAACAGGGAGTAAAAACGTTTTCGAAAACTGTTTGAAAAAACGTTTTTTTACATTTTCTTTACACAAATTAAATTTCGGTAATTTTTTTACAAGTTTTTACTCCTTGATTTAAAATGTAATTTTGTATTTGAAATGCATTTTGGTAACTATTTTGCCCATCTCTGATAATATATTAATTAATAACAATTAATAATCACAATAGTTATTGTTGTGTTATCAGTTATCATGTTATATGTACGAGTACATCTTCTTAAACAGTTTACAGTAAAATAGCTAGGTATACAAAATTATTGTAAATTCGTATTTTTAATATCAGAATAGGTATGCGTTTGAGCATTTAATAGTTAATAAAAGTCAAAACTGTACAAAACACTAAACACTTAATAATTGAAGTATAATTATTAAATTCTTATTTATTATATTTACCTATTTACTTCAAGTTCTAAATTACTTCAGAGAGTAACATTGTAACAATTATACAATAAAATATAAATACCTATAATATATTACTCGTTCACAATTTTGTTTTTGGCTCTAGGGGGGTTCGAACCCGACCCCCTCCCCCTCCCAGCCCGTAACCTTAGAAGATGGCCGCCGCGTTTTTGTGTGTTAATTATTATCAGTGTCCGGCGCCTGATTTTGGTGTCTGCGCGGTTGGCAATTGGCATTGTCAATGGTGTCAGCCCTGTCAGGTCACTGTCTGCAGGTGTATAAATTATAATGTATATACTATATTCGTTCCTCCTGATCGGTAGTCCGTTGCGGTTGAACAAAGCATGTTGTTTATAGTCGTTTGATATTTAGTTGTATAATGTGCGGTTTATTGTAATCAAGTAAAATACAATATAATATAATTTATACCTAGTTATTTATTATATGACAATCGATAAAATACAGGTAATTATTTATCGCAATATTATGGTATTAAACGAAAAATGAATTTATTTTACTATTATAAATAGTAATAATGACGGTATACTCTTGTCACTTCTAGGTTCTGTGATAAGTAGGACAACACTTATTGCAAAATGGACAAGTCGTGTGGCTGTTGTGGTGCTGTTAATATCGAGAAATTAGAATTTACCAATTTGCCAAGAATGAGTAATGTTTGGAAAAAATGGAGAAATAGCTACAAGCTGTTTGCAGAACAGTTTCCAGATCAAGCCAACGTTAGTCATTTTCTTGCACACTTGGATGAAAAGTGTATGGAAATCTATGACAATTTCGGATTTGACTCAAAATTCGATTTAGAATGTGTATTATATAACTTTGACAACTATTTTACACTTAAGACAAATTCCATTTACGCAAGATATAAATTCAACAGCTTAAAGCGGAAGCCTACACAAGATGTTGTAGACTTTTACTCTGAATTAGATGACCTTTCTATAGAGTGTAACTTTTATGAGGAAGAGCGAAGAAATATGATTCGAGACAAATTAATTGTGGATAATATGTCAGATGTTGAACTGCGAACAAATTTGCTGCAAAAACCAAACTTAGATTTATTTGAAACACTTGAAATTTTGAAGACAAAATCCAAAAAACCGATCATAAAGAAAATTCCAAAAATTCAAGGTAATAAAAACAACATTATGACTAAAGCTCGGATATTTATGACTGCATATTTTTTTAGTGAAATAAGATTTATACCCAAATATTATGAAAATTTGATTTACTAAGACTAGATTTCAAATTAGCAAACTTATAATGCATATTTTTGCATATTTGACACTTGAGCATATATTTGTCTATAATTTATTATAGATTTAATAGGTAGCATATTTGTATTCTATACAAATTGCGTAATTATACTTAATTATTAAAAATGTGCCATTTTTTTATTATCTTTTATCGTGTTTACGAGTATGAGCTAAATAAATTATACACAATTTGAGAAAAAGTAATATATGAAAATTCTGGTTATACAATATTGTCCAAAAGTTCTAAAATAATTGTCATTGTTCTTTTAATTTTAAAAACTACCAAAATAATTGTAATTCAATGTTATCCTGATGTATAAAATACCTTTTAACTAATTAACCTACATAAATGTTATTTCAATTATGTCAAGTCAGCTATTTAAAAACTCGGCTAACATATTTAGCTGATTTCAATAAAGTCATATAATTGTATATTTTGACATTTATATATGCATATTACCATACCTAATCTTAAATATAATTACCCCAAATTTTAATTAACCCTACTTGTGTCAAAGAGTTGTAAACAAAACAAGTTTTACAAAATTATATATTCTAAGCTCTAAAAATGTTTAAATATATTCATAGTTAAATTTATATTTCTCTTGATATTATTATCGGTTAGAAACCCATTTAGCCAAAATAGATATTAACTTTTTCGGAAACTTATAATTTTAAACTCTAAACCGATAGTAAAATATTTAGTTACCAATAATGTAAAAATGTATATAATATTTTAATTTATAATTATGCCAAGTGAATATTTATTTTTATTTAATATAAGTTATTAAGTGCTGTGCAGCACCGACCACCAATATTCAGTTGTTTTTCGGTAGTCTGCAATATATTATCAAGTATTGCCTAATAAAGCTTTTAAATATTCCATAGAGATGGGAGGGCTCAGTTTATTACTATTCCATCCCCATATTATATTATAAAATTCCTGGACAATCCACTATATACTCGGTTCAAAATAAGAAGCGACCTCGGCGGCTATCTAAAAGCCACATAAAAAACCGGTTTTCAGGTAGCCGCCGAGGTCGCTACTTATTTTGAACAGAGTATAGTCATCATTTATTTTCTGTAATAACCAAATAATTATCAAATTCGTTACTTAAAAATGATTAATGATTCAGTTTCATTTAAGTTACCTGAACATATTTTATGTGCCTATTTATGCTATTATATTCTGTTTTAGAATCAACCAGTACTCATGATATGGATAAGAAACAAAGTAAAAGTAATATTTCAAGATACCCTCCACAATTTTTATGTGCATATTACTTCATTACTATAATATTAAACTCTGTTTTAGATTCATCCAGTACTGATTATGTGGAAAGGAAACAATATAAAAGTAATTTTTCCAAGACACTCTCCACCATGGTTGAAATATACAGGTTATTGCTCTTCGTCTTCAATTGTTGTCTTCAGAAATGAGATGGCAGCATAAGCGGATATTAATTTTTTTACTATTAATATAGTATTTTTTTACTATGTACATATAATATAATTGGTATTGGCTCCCGTTACGTTGACATATTTGTTTTTATCATTAAATATTTTATGAAGAAAGGGTATATGTGAAATAACCTTATATATTTCAGTCATGGCCTCTGCGATTTTTGATGTGCCTATTGTGCTACTGCTCTAATATTTTATTCTGTTTTAGAATCACCAGGCACTAATGATGTGGATAAGAATCAAAATAAAAGTAATATTCCAAGACACCCTCCACGAAAATTCACAGCTAAAGAAGTCAAGTATTTAACAGACAAAACTAAGAAATATAAAGATCTGTCAACAATTGATAGTTCAGTGTATGACCGTATTATTAAAGACAAACGTGCAAGCTTTCAAGACTGTTCAATTGAACAGATAAAAAGAAAAATTAAATCCATTAGAAACAATGAAACGAAATCCTTAAGCGCAGTCTTTGAAGATATTAAGTTTCAGATTAATCCTTATCTTCCTGTACCAAATTGGAAATTATAATTAGAATATCTACTACATTTTAATCCACGTTGTAACGTAATCTATTATCATTTTTATGTAATGTATAGTTTATAAAACATTTCTTAAAAGTTAATTCAATAATTTATAAAATATTTATATAAACCTTATTATTTTAAATTTAATATTAATTTATTTTTTTAAATAATAATATATTCGAAAATGTCAATAGTAAGTTTAGTAGACTACATTAGATAGTAGACCTACAAACGTGGAGCTAAGTTCTGTAGACATAAAAAGTAAAGATTCTGCCAACCACTAATTGTATGTATCTCAATACTGTAGTTAAGTATCACATATTTTCTAATATTGTAATACCTAATGGATATACAGATTTCATATACCAACCCATTTGATGCTAGATATTTTATTTCGATTTAGTTTTAACATCCCCTACTCCTCATAACAAAACATGTGTGCATTTAGTGGATAAGATAACCTCTAAATTCTAATTGGCATTACTTAAGTATTTGATACCTAATAATATTGAACTTGTTTAAGTCTAGTATAAAGTTTTGTGTCAATCAGCTTGAAAACTTAGTTTTAGTTATGCTGTATGCACTCTATTTTTATAAATAATTGTTGTAATTATAATAATAACATGTGATTATTCAACCATTATTTGATAACACTCATATTCTGTGTATTATTAATTTATTATTTTTATATAACTTTGTGTAAATATTTCATAGTTAGGTTGAACTATGTAACTAAAGTTAACAAATAAAATATTTTACAGTGAGATTTTTCCTATTTATTTGATATATAATTCTTTATTTAAAAATAAAAGAAGTTTTTACAATTCTAAATATTTAAAAAATGTGTTTTAGTTCAAAAAATTATAGAATATTAGACAATTATTTTTAATTTACGTAGTAAAATTGTGCTAAGGCGTTATTCTTGTAATTCGTAAATATAATTTAAAATTTTAACATTGAAACTATTTGATAATATCGAATGTAATAAATATATATTTATATATTATATATGTATAACAAATTATGTTATATTATAATAAGGCGTAGATGAAGTTCAATGGCACGTATATCGAAAGATATCTATTACTCAAAGCGTGTGATTAATGAAAGTGCGAAAGTCAGTTCAGGATCATTTTGTAAAATTAACTGAAATAGTTCTAAAAGTAAGGTTGATTCAATAATCAGTCCTAGTTTCATCACCAAGTATAAAAATTCAATTTTTTCATTATTATTCAAACATAATTTATCAAATACATTTTTATATTTATTTGTATTCAGTGCAGTGTGGCAGGGACATAGAACCAATTGCAAAGGCTAAACTAGAGCTAATAAAGATATGCCCATAGAATACTATGGTTTCTATATCGGTGAAAAATGTCTATACCTTGCTGCCAGTCCTGGTGTGTAAACATTTCTACTATATTGTACACATTATTAAAATGATTTAGTTACGTATCTCATTTACTAGACTAGTAGACAATTATCTGCTTCATTAGTTGAAATTAAAACTCATTTTGCAGCTATAAATACACCAAGCGTTTTCACTGCTATCGAGACTGACAAAGTATATACATTGTATAGGTACATGGGGTTATTATGTTAATATGTTAAATAGCCTTTCTCATTGGTTTAGATTAATAATGGTTTAAAATTACTATTATTGCAGTCTAATTTATACTTGAACGTGTTAAACTGGTGAGAACAGCTGTAAGTATAATAGGCTATAAAGTACTAATGGCGCCGTTCTTACCGGTTCAATTTTAAAAATTAAATTTATCAATACTTCAATCATAAGTTAAATCATCCTTAAATGGTGAGAATTTTTTTTTTTATAGATTCTACACAAAATAATTACTGCCAGTAATGGCCAAATTGTGCCTACACTAGAAATTAGTTTCCGATGCTGCCAATAGATCGCGTATAGAGTTTCATGAAATAATTAGTCGTGTATTATAAAAGGGAGTTTATAACGTCAACAGGCTGGCCACTGGCGTTCTCAATCTATACTAGTTTTAGATACAAATCAATGATATCAAATTTTAATAAAATAATAATTTTCTAAAAAATAGTCTCTCGCTTTCTTAGTACAGCTTTCCCAATAGATCAGATGTTTTCTTAACTTTTTTTAAAAGACGAGACATTAGATTGTGTTTTTTTTTAACAAATTAAAAATTCAATTTTTGAGTTTCATAATATTAACATCAAATACGGCTTTTATAAGGCTAAAATGACGGGTTTTGTCAAAATTCTAATTTTTTTGATCCCACTTCTTAATATACGAAATAATTTCAGTTCTAATTTAAGTTTTTGAAAAAAATTGTCTGAACTGGATTTCTTGAAAGGTAGTATGCGTGGCTGCAACAATATTTCAACAAAAAAAAACCATTGTGGCCTAATTAAGTTTTGTAGACTGAGCTAAATCAGAGTTGAAACGCCTAGTGGCAAACCAAAGTATCTACTTACTATTTTAGTAGACAATAAAATTATAATATATATTGTTTAAAGAAAGTATGAATGTAGGTTTTGTCCATTAGGTATTTGAAGGCCCTTTTGATTATTAAAATAAAAAAACTACCAACGTCTAACGCACATTCCTTGGAAAAATTTCATATCATTATATTATTATTATTAATTTCTAATTAATAATAGAATAATTTCTAAACAAAAAGAGTGAGTATTAGATTTCATATATTTTGCTCATACAGATCTCGGCAATAACTTAATAAATATTATCGTTTTTTAATTGTCCAAACAAGCTAACGTGTAGTGATGATCTTATATACATGCAAAATAATAATAATTATTATCTCGGCTATTGGCATAAATGAAAATAACTTGGTAGTCGATTAATTTCAATTAATCACATAGAAAAAAAAACGACCGATGGTTATTAATTCCGCTTTGCCACTTTATAAATACTAAACACTCGTAAATATTATTGTCAGTGCCATCAACTCATTAATAAACTATTTTTAATTATTCCTTCTCATTAATTTGTTGTTTGAAAAAAACCAAACAAACACTTCAATTTTCATCAATTGCAACAGTATTAATGAATAAATTGCATGTCTAATGTCTACGCCAATAAATCACAGGAACTTTAATATTTGATCACAGGAGCCGGCGACCAGAGAGGATTGAACATTTCAATAGTTCTAGTGTTGCTTTTTGGTCCAGATAATTACAGTACAAACCAAGTATATCAATGTAAACCAACAGAGTTGGAATAATATTTTAACTGTCGAGTGTCCAAAGCTTAGGCATTGAAGTTAAAATAAAACCACAAAACATGGCCTCTATGACGAATAATACATCTTATTAAAATAATTATGATGATAATTAGATAATAGCTGTCATCTGTGGTGTATGGTTGCGGCTGAAAAAAAAAATTAAAATTCTGTACAAAATGATAGTCTAGGAAAAAAGTCAACACTCAAAACATTTGCCACTACCACGGCTTTCGGCTGGAGTGAGAGTTCGACAATTTGGAAAAAGCTGAATAAGGCCAATTACTTTTATTGGTGTAACTACTGGCTGTTAATTGTAGTTCTTAAATTTATCACACATCACATAATATACGACTTTTAATATGTCGTAATATAATATAAATTACACACATTTTTACCCAAGAAACTTCACGTTATAAAATTTTCTCAATTTCCCTGTGCTATTAGGAATTGAAAGTATTAAATAGTAATTTTTTTTCTATAAAATAAGTATTTGATAATATTTATTTGAAAAAGCAAAATAGTTTTAAGGCTATTTTATAGGGCAACATTACAACTACCTAGTTAAATAGCAGCCTATAAATTATTTGATTTACCTATTTAAATCACTGATTTTTTCACTTTTATATAAAACAAATAACTTTTTATAAATCTGGAAGTATGTACCTAGTACTATACTATGTATTTACTTCACTTTTAAACATATTTTCGTCATACGTAGGTGTGTTTATCTATTAATTATTTTTACATATTAAATAAACCCATAAGTAATTCGATTTAGTTGTCTTGTTTTTTTCTAAAAATATTATGGATTATTCATATCAATAAAATTCAAAATTATAATTTTACAATAACACGGAAAATACGTCACCTATCTATTTTGTGAAACATTACTTATATATTATACTTCATTCACATTGCTGATACAGATCTCATAATTCAATTAATTTTAATAGATTTAACTAGGTCATCAACATTTCATCAACTTTTGACGCCAAACCTCTATATTTTGACGTTTCATAGCAAATGTATCATTTATCTCTCGAGAGGATAAACAATATTTAACTTTTTAATTTCAAGTGCCGTGCTACACACATTTTGTATGTTATACAAGTGATATTATGTTTATGATATATTTACTAAAAAATGTATTTTATACAAATAAAACATAATATACCTATAGAAAAACCATACTTGATTTTCTTTTTTAAAATTACTTACAAGTTAGCACAGGGTCTAAAATAGTTTAAGTTTAAATTAATAAATTTTATTAGGTAGATGCTAGATAATATCACTATTATTTCTGTTGGTATGTAATACTCGTTACTTTATAATTCATACCAATGTACAACTTACATCTAGATTTCTGAGACTTGTGCTCTGTCACTTATGTATTTTATAAACATTATTCTATTTATAAATTTGTTATTATTTGAAAAAATTCGCTAATAAAAAAAGACTCGGGGGAAGACCTTTTTTAACGGAAATATTCTTTCATTTTAATTGGTTTTACCAATAATGAATGGTTTATAATGTCAGTATTATTTAACTTAACTAGGTAAGTATATTATAGAGTCAGGCGAGGCCATTCCAAATGAATGAGCTAATTGTTAATACCTACGTAAAAAAATAAAACTTTTGGTGATAATTTTATAAAAAATAAAAGACAATTAAGATAATTTAGAACATGTGTGGCACAAAGTACAGATTAGATTTCATAAGTGCACTTAAAATATAACATAGGTACTTAAGAAACATCCATGTGGTGTACAAGTATTGGAAGTCGCTCAAAACGCATAGTTTCACTGGAAGTTTTACTTGTAAGTTTATTAAGTACGTGTATCTCATATTCTATGTGAAGAATTTTCAAACACTGCTCCTGTAAAATTAAAAAAAAAAAAAAATTAGGTTTTTAGTTTTTTGGTTTTATAATAATGTGTTTAAAAATAAAATATCTGTTTAAATTTCAAATAAAAATCATCGAAGATGTAAATTATGTACGTTTTCACCTGTAAGATAAATAACCGCAGTGTTAAGTGATAGGTATATTTATATATAAAATAAAATTTTTTTACGATCGTTAATAATAGAACAGATAAGTACACTTAATATATCATATCGATGGTATTATACAGCACGATCGATTTAACGTGAGACACCGATATTTTTATAAAATAATTGCAATTTTGTAGTTTTTTCTTCAAGTCACATATTAAGTATGGGTTAAATTACAATATTAGACAATAATCAATATTCAAATTGTATTATTTTTTATTTATTTCCAGAGCTCTATCAACTTTTAAAACTTATGGGTGGAGTTTAGTATTGTTATTAACTTCGCCAGCCATTACTCCACCGCACTTAACGTTCCGCCCTAAATTTTAAAAACTTTAGTTACATTAAAAGTTTAAAACCAATTACCAAAACTGGTTATCTCGACCATTCGACATTGTTAATATTAAAAGTTGATTAAATACCATACTTTGTCATTTAAGTTTTAAAATTTGATAGAACCCTGAAAAAAAAACTAAAAACGTAAATATCTATAGTAATTTGATCAATATTCAAGTCTTTTGTAATTGGGCCAGTCCCGTATTTACATATAAATAAATAAATATTGTAAAATAACAAAAAACGAAAATTTTATCAAAAAGAAATATCGCAAAATTGCATTTTCCAAGACAATTGATTATGCCTTGCGTTAAATTGATCACCCTGTATTTACGCCGTCTAATAACCCTCACTAAACACACACGCACACGCAAATCGTCAATCATTATATCATAGCAGTTGCCAGTTAGATGGACAAAAACGACGCTTAGTATATCGGAAGACTCGGCCTTGTGTGCACGGTTTCGTTAACGATTTTAGGTTTAAAACAATAAAATAAAATATCAATATAATATTATGTCGTTGTTATTCGGTCGGCGGTAAAAATATATAAAAAAAAAAAAATAATAATTATTAATTTTTTTAAATCACACGCGTAACGATAATATTACTATCACATGATATGTTATGAGAGTTTGTCTTGAGATCGTGACAAATACCATATTTTATTTTATTACAATATAATAATAAATCTGTGTGTTACCGAAGAAGAAAAAAAACTGGTCTAAAATTAATTTTTCCTCGGGTAAGTAACGTTTTCGTTTTAAATTTAACCGATCACATCGTGTCTGCCTAAGTATATATTTTTTTTAGTCGGTAAATTCACCGTACACTTAATTTTGTATGAGAGTTTTAACGATTTAATAGCCCAACAGCGTAGCCGGTTTGTGTTAAGTCACAATGTTACAGGTGTGTACTTATGGTCTAAATTCTAAAATAACACCGACAGTTCATTTAAATATAATATTATGTTTATATATTTATAAATATAATTACATTAATGGGATAGCTGTTAATTGTACACGGCTCGAGCGTTAATAGACGATGTAATTACAAATACCTGTTGTGTACATTCAGTAATAATATTATTAAATTAAATGATTCCTTTTTGGCCTAGACAACCTGGATTAGGGATCATAACCGAAATTAAAAATAGCGATAGTAACCCATGGTGGCAAAATGACAATTATCATGCACACCAATTTATGGAAAGTCACATTACTACGTTTTGTACATTTCACAGCGGTTGTTCTATAATAATGCACTTAACCCTTTGAGCCATAGTAGTATTATATTGAAAATTGAAATCACCTTTTAAATTTTTTTTTTTTGCTATTGTTAATTGTGGTATTTTATTGAAATCATCGTCAAAATAATTTGAGATAAAAATGTAATGTGCGACTCAAATGGTTTATGTCAACAGTCAATAATAATAAACAAATAGTCTTGTGCAATATTATAATATTATTTTATGGCGTTGATGTTAATCCGTTTTGTTGTTGTTAAATATCGTAGATTGAATTTAACGATGTGACTTTTCGTTTTTAATTTTTTTTTTTATAATTTTTCGATACTTGTAAATGTGACATTTTAAATAAGCGCATTTTTTTAGAGTAGTCAGTTAAACCGACTAATTTCTCGAAGAGTGGTCGAATTTAACCAAAATCAGGTTATGCGTGGGTGTATTTTTGTTATACAATAATCGATTGTTTCAAATTTTAAATAATTGTTTCTACCTAATTGTTACTATGTTTGTGAGTGTTAAAATCGGTTTCCAGTAAACGCTTTGTTGCAAATATAACTTGTAATAAAAAGGTTACAGATTTTTCTCATACCGTAAAAAAAAAAATTTCTTTTTTAAAATTATCATATAAAATATGTTTATAATAATAAAAAAAATGTTACGATATTTCTGAAATAATTGTTTTATGCTTTACTGTCTGGGTCGTATATGGTTTCTATCGTTAATCATGAAAGTAGGTTTTGGGTTTACTTATTGTTATACTGATGTTTTAGTTAAATTTATTTTTATCAGAATTCGTGAAATTGTTAACCAGTATACTCCTTTGCCTCCATATTAATAATATACAGATTAAAAAACGTTTCATTTTTCAGAAAGCAAAAAATGCTCTCATTTCAAATAAAAGTCGTAAAAAACATTTTCATCGTATTTTTGAATTTATATTAAAGCAAAAAATAGAATATCATATTTAATATTTAAATTTGTTCTCGCGGGTAAACAAAAATGATACTATTATTGTTTTTTTTTATAAATTACAATTTTTTTCTTAGGTATTATTGTTTTAACCTTGAATTGAAATGTTATTTTTTGTCAGATGTTCATTCGTTTGAAGTTTGCTTTTAATTTTTATAATCATGGTTAATGCGGCCTCTTAATAAAGATTATTGAATAGACTATCAAAGAATTTTATTAAAAATTATTGGCGACTATTATAAATAATTTAGTCAATGAAATTTGTTTGCTGCTGGTTCTAATCATGTTATTAGGTACCTATGTAATAGATACTATAATACCTAGTTGATTGTTGTGCTTATAATTAATAAATTAAACAAGGGGAGGGGTTGTGTAATCTTATATGCAATATCTGTTGAAATTGCTGCAAATCGTTTTCCGTGAATTTATTATGACTAGATAATAATTTATAGGTATTTATCATAACAAGGTATCTAATTTCGCTTGAATTTATGTAAATTCGTATTAAGTAAACGAAATGCTGTATATTCAAATAATACAATTTTACGTTTTTTTTCTATTTTATTCCCAACTTTATGTGGTAAATGTGATAAAAATCGTGCGGAATGGTTAGTTTGCGTGCATCGACTTTTCACTGTCGATTCAGAACATTATTTACCGAAATATTCAGGTATGCATTTGATTAATTTTGCATTGTACCTATCAAATGTCTGTTGCAGTTTGCTGTGGTCATTGCGAATTTTCAAGATTATTTGTGCCCGTCTGTAAACGCCGCAGTTGTCATAGTTTTGTCATTAATTGGTATGCCAGCAGTCTAAAGATCTCTTTCAATGACACTTACCAAAGATGCAATTGACTCACAGCAACGTAAACGCAGCTCGATGGACTCCAAAAGCAATTTACAATCGGAATATGCTATAGGCAGCAACGATTTTATACGTAAGCTTCGTATCTTTTGTGTTTATAATAATTATTTTTAAGGGAAATAAACTACTTATTAGTTTAAGAAAACAGTGTAAATTATTTGTTTGTCAAAATATTACCAAAAAGTACGGATTTATTGCACATATCCTCTCATAGGATGTTTTTTACACAAATATATCATGTTTTTAACAAGAATAAATAAAAAGGAAACTACAATAACACTGTACATAACAAAAAGAACTAAACTACGTTTTTTTTCCGCTGAATTCGAATTTGGCCTCAGTTTTTATTTTTAAATCGTCTTTAAGTTGTAAAAAACGTTGTTTTCTGATATTATCAACGTGTTTTGTACACTGAAATGTGTGTTTAAGTTTATTTAAAATAAAGTTTAAGGTTCGGTGCGAAGCTGAAAAATGTATTAATTTTATAACCACTTCTAAACCACTGGAACGGTTTTTATTTTCATTATTTTGCTGATGTCAAAACTCACCACATTATTGTGAACAATTTTTTTAAAATCCTAAATTTTGTTTAGGAAAATTGCTTATTATTTTGGAAGCTATTTAAAAAACAAATTTACGTACTAGAAAAAAATTGAATTGTCATGGATTTTCTAAACTTTAAATATCAAAACCTATGGTAAATTTATCTCTAGCCAAAGTAGAGCCCCGACAATAGCAAACAAAGTATCATCAAGTTAGGTTTGTCCAGTTATCATGACGTAGTCTTGTGTTCGAAATTCGTTCAAAAGATGTATTTTTTATCTAACAGAAAATACTGGTAATAATAGTCATCGTTAATTAGTTAGCTAATCCTCGGTTATCTTTAGCCAGATAATGTAACAAATATTAATAACATTATCAACGCGTTAACCAACGGAGCTAATACGAATAACATACTATTTCCAAAAGTTTATATAAAATATTTGAATTAATTAAACATAATATATTTTGTACAATACAAAGTTAGTTATTGTTTACAGTTTAATAAAAATATAGATTGATTAAATGTTGAATAATTGTGTTTTACGTGTCCCATGCAGTTGTATAGTTATTATTTAGTTGTAGATGAAGTTGCCGATAAACCCAAAACCAACGTTAAGCAGAAACTACAATTGATATCGCCTTGTATTATCAACAAGGCAAAAAATACTTTTACGTACAAAAATATTACGAAGAGGTTGCCAATACTGCAATGGCTACCCAAGTACACAGCGGAAGACGGACTTGGAGACCTTTTGGCCGGCATCACGGTGGGACTAACAGTCATCCCACAATCAATGGCTTACTCCGCTCTAGCTGGACTACCGCCTCAAGTAAATAAACCGATTGATTTTGTGAAGTCAGGTCAGCTTTTGCAACCCTTAAATTACCGTTTCTTACTCCAACACGCCAATACATTTTTCGCTGCACTTTATTTTCAAACGTCCTAAGCTTCCTTCATGTTTCTTCCTCCTATATAATCATGATCATTTTCAAAGGGTGTCTGATTAAGATAATACTGTCTGTGGTGAACTCATTCCACGGGCCATGTAAATATTATGTTACGCCTAATGATACATATTTTGTAATATGATAATTTCAGTATGGCCTCTACAGCTCTTTCGTAGGATGCCTAATGTACGTGTTCCTGGGGACATGTAAAGACGTTCCTATGGGACCAACAGCTATCGTATCGCTAATGACGTACAATACGCTTCACGGACTAGGACCTGTATACGGCACCCTTTTATGTTTTATATCTGGAGTCATTCAGCTGCTGATGGGAATCGTGGGCTTGGGTGCGTTTTAAATAATTATATTTTTTTTTATGACGCTCATGACCGGTCGAAAGCTCTACTTAGCCTAGTCCGATCGCCAGTGGTAAACTTTTTTGCTGCATCATCTAAGGTTATGCCAAGTCAGTGATAGAGACCGCCCGTGACCGGATTCGATGCTCGCCGGCACTGCCGTCTTAATCTACTCGGCCTATAGGTTTCCCAAAAAATAATACAATTAAACGAGTTGATGAGTTTGGAAATTTTAATTTAAAGGTTTCCTGATTGATTTCATATCTGGCCCTGTGAGCTCAGGATTCACATCAGCAGTTGCGATACTCATCATCGCGTCCCAAATAAAGGACTTGATCGGCGTCAAGGGCGGCGGATCTACGTTAGTGGACATGGTGATTTCGTTGTCCAAAGACATTGGAAACTATAGGCCAGGCGATGCTCTGCTGGGAGTGGCATGCATTATCGTAATATTATTGTTGCGGGTAAGTCCACCACAAAAAAAGTGGTGCGCGTACGGGTTGAATTTTGTTTCCTACCAATAACCAGTTCTACACGTTTTCAAGGGACTCGCCCTATGTCATGTCGGACCAAAGACCGCCAAAGAACAGACGACTGCCCAGAAAATACTTAATCGCTCAATGTGGTTGATTGGAACTTTCAGGAGCTCGATATTAGTGCTTTTCTGCAGTTATTTAAGTTACTTGTTAATAGAAAAAACCGGACACGACGTCACTTCGGACAACGCACCGCCTATACCGTTCAAAGTAATAGGTACGTGCAATACTGTTGTTGCTTACTATCCAAAACACAACACATATAAATAGTATATATAATATTATAGTAATGGCAATATAGTAATGTTTTGTTTACTTCAGGTAAAATTCCGTCCGGTTTGCCCAGCATTGATTTCCCGGAGTTCAGCGTTGCTCAGACTAACCATACCGCTGTGGGATTCTTTGAGATGGTGTCCAAAATGGGATCCGGGGTCATTGTTTTACCATTAATAGCGTTGCTAGAAAACATATCTGTGTGCAAAACGTTCGGTCAGTATTTTTTTTTTTGTTTTGATAACGCAACATACTAGTCGGCTAAACAGATCCATTAAAAAACGTATGTTGTTTTAAAAATTCAAGCGAACGGAAAGACCGTCGATGCCACTCAAGAATTAGTCGCCATTGGTTTGTGCAACATCGGAAATTCGTTTGTTCACGGACTTCCCGGATCAGGTTCCTTTTCCAGAAGTGCTGTAAACAACGCTAGTGGCGTCAGAACTCCCATGGGAAGTTTGTACGCTGGTGATTTTTTTTTATATCATATTAATACCCACAATTACTAAGTGATCTTTTCGATGGTACGATTTCAGAGCATGATGAATTTCTACATTAGTATTGTACAGGCAATTTTTCACTAAAACTTAACATTAAGCTACAATTTTTAAACGTACTTATTACCACAGGAACGAGGGATCTATTTTGATATTTTATGAGGGTCGTTTTTTTTCAACTTTTATGTACGCATACAGGATCTATTTTTGTACAAAAACAAATGTTTCAACTTCAACCAGAACTTGCCCAAAAAAATTCCAATCTACGTTTTGAAAAAACATTTGAATTCTCCATAACATTTTTAAAGCATCGACCGTGGCACAATTTTAAAATTATTTTTAGTTAATTAATTATTTAAATGTAAGAAACTGAAATTTTTTTTTTTTAACTAAAATAAATAATTAACAAAACATAATTTTAAAATTATGCCACGATCGATGCCTTGAAAATATTATGAAGAACTCAAATATTTTTTTCAAAACTTCAATATGAATATCCTTAAGAAAAGTACGTTTGAAGTAGAATGCGTTGTTTTCGACCAAAAATACCCATGTGGCCCCTTAAGTGTATTTTCTCTTTTATCCCTTTTGTTTGGCAATTGAGCGAAAAACGTAAAAAATGATGGATTCTCACGCGTTACTAATTTTCCAATCGTCTGGTTTTCTCTGTTATAGTGGTTTGATAATAATAATAATTGTTCCATATGTATATCCTCTTCCTATTTGCCGGGGAGATAAAGTCGGTAACCCTTTGTACGCAAAACAATGGTACCTAGAAATAATCCATTTGTGGTGTCATCTTGTTCTCGGTCGGCGATCAAGTTTCAAATTGTCGAGGTTTTACTAAAAATTTCACAAACCTAAAAACTAACTTTGATTAATAACAATATAATGCCTTATTCTTTATTGTGATACTCGGTTATACAGCCATTATACAGACCCGTGTACGATTTCGTGGTGAAGGGTTATTTTAATAGTTCACTGTTCAATATTTCTATAATTTATTATAATATAGCATGTTATTTTAGGAGTATTGGTGATCGTAGCCTTATTAGTTTGCACTCCGTATATGTACTACATACCAAAAGCATCTCTAGCGGCCATCATCATTGCCGCTGTTTTGTTTATGGTCGAAGTCCGCGTGGTCAGACCTATTTACAGATCAAAAAGTAAGTTGTTGTAATAATTTACAAATAAAATACAATAACGAATCGAGTTGTACAGTTATTTCTTATTACTTGTTTTTAGAAAGCGACCTCATTCCCGGGCTGGCTACGTTTTTCGCATGTTTGGTGTTGCCGTTGGAGATTGGAGTTTTGATAGGCATTGGATTGAATTTGGTGTCAATTTTGTACCACGCAGCAAGACCGAAAATCCTAATAGAAGTACACAAGGTAAAAATTATATCATTATAAATATCATAACATTTACATATAACGTTAACATAGGTACTTCAGCGGATTTTTAGCCTGACCGGGAAATATTAGATGGTGGGCAGTTTAGGTCCTTTGAATCAATACAAGTGCAAGTAACCATTTAATATTTCTACTATAGCATATTATCCATATGCGCTGAAGTCTAAAGGCTCGCCGCACATATAGTTTGAATATTAAACGAATACCTACACTCATTAATACGCACCTTACAATATTTAAGGTATTCCGTGGTTTAGAATCTAAAGAAAAGTCGGTAAATCTCAGTTTTTATTTATCTGTTCGCATTATACAGTGTTACCAACCTATTTCTATTTTACAAACATGAATGTGGCGTTTTTCGGAGAGAATATAGATTTGTGTAATAAATACTATGCTAAAAATGTTTTTAAAATGTCATAACATGCCTGCCGGTCAACGCCTCAATCAGAATTCTTAGATTTTGCTAAATTATTTTTTTTTTCTCATCACGCATCAGTCATCTTCATTCAATCTACCTCTATAGTTAAGCTTGTAATTATTTTAGTACCTAATGTCAAACAAATTACAATATTCAAATCTAGTTTAGAATTCCTAATGCCCCACATTTGTATAATTAATAATTAATCATGATTGATTTTTCAGACTAGAGACGGTATTAGTTATTTGATGGTAACGCCAGACCGATGTTTGGTATTTCCTTCAGTGGACTACGTAAGGAATCTGGTGGTAAAGCATAGTCTGAAAAGAGATCTGCCTGTGGTGATTGACTGTTCACACATTTATGGCGCAGACTTTACAGCGGCAAAGGTAAATACATTATCATTATCATCATTGGTTTACTAAAGTTTAAAGATAATTAATACAAGATAATGTGTTTTTACACCGTAGGTGATTGAAATATTGACCAAAGACTTTTCCAAAAGAGGTCAGGCCCTGTTTTTTTACAACTTAAAACCTAGCGTAGTGGCCGTGTTCGAAGGAGTCCAGCCTAAAGATTTCTTCACCTATTACCATAGGCACGAGCTAGACGTTCTACTTAAAACGCAAGCGTTAGTATAAATACGTATTTTCCTTCCATTGATCGTTAGCACACAAGAACACTGTTCAATGTTTTATTTTATTTTTTTAGACAAAAATCGATGCAAAACGATAACATCACGGTCTGATCTGACTTGTCCAAGTGCACTTTGTTACTTCAAATATTACACCGAACAATACGTATAATACGCAAGATTGTTAAGAGAATAATATTGTTATACAAAACATTATATTCTAGTATTATTTTTATAATACTACAATATAATGCTTTATAATAGTATTTATAATACTTTTTTTTTTTTAAATACCATTGACTGTGAATTATTTTTTTAATTGGTAGACACTTTTGTAATAGTTATTTAAATGTATACTAGTATACTATGTTTTAAGCATTATTAGTAGAAAATATGTTCACCAAAAAAAGTATTAATTATAATATAGTGTATTGCTACTGGCTTTTAATATTAATATTAATTTGTTTTTTATCATTTCAAATTTCAATCGCTAATAACCGTTTAACATGTGTTGTGGATTTCCCAAAAACTATAATCGAAAAAACATTTAATTCTTCATAATTAATTATTAATTAAACATGTCTAATATAAAAATACATAAATATATCTGTTTAATTATAATGTTTAGTCGATTAATATTAGGAAATAAGTTTGAATTAGTCTCAATTTAATTTCTAAGGCAAGAATATTTACAAACGAGTCACAATGAATTTCCATGTGTTTTGTAACATAACCAAAAAGGAATTAAAAATGTAATGAACATTTTATTTTCTAAAGAATAATCATAAGAATATAACAAAATAAATAAACATTTGTTTTTTAAACTACATATAAATTTGAGAAAAAAAGTTATTTTGATTACGGCTGTTAACTTTTCTAAGCAATGTGTTAACGTTTTTTGAAAATTTAACAATGTAACACACTTTATTGTAAGAAAAAACACATGCTATTGTCAGAACACTTATTTCAAATAGTTTAATATATGAACACATAAAAATGCACAATCACAGCTTATTCTAGTAGTTCCGAATAACGTTTTATGAACATTAAATATTTTCCTTGTTAAAATAATAAAAGAACAATTTGTTTGGATTGAGTTAAACGTCAAACAGAACCCTCAATCAATATACCAAAATCCATGTTTCTCTTGTGCAATACTTATACTGTAACATTAGATAATCGTACAGATATTTGCAACTGAAGTAAACAATATCTAAGAAATTTGGATCAAGCAACAAAACTAAATACATCACAATATTTTTGATATTTTCAATATGTAGTCAAATATATTTTTAAAAATACGGTAAAAGATAATATATCGACACAAACTTAAATGTTTCAAAGTTGTTATTTAATATATTTAAGCCGTATTTGATGGGTTCTTGAAATTAAATTTGACCATTGTTTAAATTAAAGTTAAAACAATTTCAATAAAAGTAAATATTAATATTAAATACATTAATTGTAATTAAAAAAATAATTTAAATAACAGGTTGTTTGAAAATTCAGATAAAAATATATTAAAACAATATAATATTTTTTATTTATTTGATGCAGTAAATAAAAATGTGTTTGATGACTAAATAAAAAAGTATTTCAAATAAGTTATAATTTTCAAACAATTATTATTTATTTGTTATTTAAATAAAAAATGCACAGGTCTGCTTTATGACATTTTTGAAACATTGAAATTTGCAACATAATGTGTTATTTTAAACATATTTGAGCGTTTTGTTATTTGGGAATTCTATTTTTGATTTCAACTAAAAAAAGGTAACAAATTATATGCATACTTTGTTTAGGTGGTTTTACGTTTTATGAAAAAGTAATTTGTTAAGTCACAACTTGCGGTAATTAATATCAGATGCTCAAGGTTGTTGAAATAATTATTGCCGGTATTTCAGGCCTACACAGTTTAAACGTTCTAGGCAACAACCAAAACAATATGTAAAATATGTAATATGTATTTTGATACTAATTGGTGTAGAGTTATTATTCAAAATAACTATTAATAACAGTTTCTGTCGCGTAGACAGAAAATTAAAATACTTGGTGACATTTAACATTTTAATATTTACTTTTATTTACATATTTTTAGTTATAACATTTTTTTTCAGTTGTCTGTAAGCCGATACGGCTGAATCCCTTTCTTTTTCCAACATACGTCTATCGGACAGTGCTAACTCCCTCCGTTTTCCCGTAAATGCTTTGCGTTTAATATCATTTTTACTAGGTTTTTTTAGGATCACATTGGTTATTTTTTTCACTTTGGCCATATTTCCAGGATCCGCCAACATAGACTTCAAGAATAAATCGTCTTTACGGCCAGGCTAAAACAAATACGGATGGACATAAATTTCACAAATTTCTTTTAATAGTTGAATGACATTAACATATTATACAGTATTTACTCGATTTTCAAATTCGTTGACTACGGCTTTTCTGGGTTTCACCAACAGACTTGGTGGACAGTGCACTGTTTCTCCAAATGCAATATTATCTTTTATGTATTCTTTATCGTGTTCAACTTTATTTTGAACTTCTTCGTCGTGTTTTTGCTTTTTTTTCTCTTTCTTTTTTTCTCTTTTCAATTTACTTTTCAGTATCCTTTTGCGCTTGGCTTGTAACAATTTTTCTTTCGTCGACTGAATAGTTACTGGCTCATTAACGACATCAGTAGTGGAGACTGTATCATCGATTTTTTGTTCCTCTTCTCCTCCAATGTCAAATGCACATTTTGGCGATTGTCTTGGTAGCCTACTGCCACCGATGTTTACGTAATTCAATGATTTTTGTTTTAAAATAACTTTTGCACTTTTTTTTGCGAGTTTTTTCAATTGTATAAATTCTCGTAAACTTCGCGGAACATCTTGATATTTCGGATCTTTGGGAGGCTTATTTGTTTTACCCTTTAATCTGAAACAAATTTAATATAGTTAAATAAAACGAAAAATAAATTTACTTTTATTATATTTAATTAAAAAATTAGGTGTAGAGCTAACGTTACGTAGTTAAAAAACAAAATAGCTGCCAGAAATGTACAATTATATTGTTTTAAGTACGACAAAAATAAGAACGAAATAAACATTTTTTCATTCTTTTGTAATAATAATGTCAATAAATATAATGTTTGTTTAATTAATAGTTATATAATTATTAACTTAGGAACTCACTCTTCGTTTCGCTTAGCAATCTGTTCGAATACATCCTTCACACGTTTCTGTTTTTTACTTTTAAATTTTCGAGCCATTTATTTGAATACAACTAAAATATATTAGAATGATAGTATCGATTCGAAAATTCTAACTAATAATGGCTAGTTGAATATAATTATTGTAGACAATAGTTTTTAAGTTTTAAAAATTACACAATTAGAATTTAAAATACAGCGCACATGTTCATTCCATTCCAATATATTTGTTGATATTCGCACGTGTTATCAGAATTGTGATAATATACAAATGATAATGCTTATCAGTTAGAGCTTATCGTTTTATTCCATTCCTGGTTATAACCAAGGTTTAAGAGGACGTCACACACCCGTTATTTTCTTCAACAAACCCGACTTGCGTGAATTAATTTTACAAAGGCTATAATCAAAACTAAGAAACCAAATTTTTACGTAATATAGACAACAACATTGTCCGTGTTCTACCATCGCCTTTTTTTTAATATTTCAACCAGTTAACGAATAATTAATTAATTAAGAAAGGACTTTTTTTCCTTTTTTAAAAACGATATGTATTATATTTATCGAAAAAATACGGATGATTGAACACCGATAATTTTATCATAAATAATATGTATGAATTTCTTTCCTTAACTATATATGAAGCCTGAGATAAATTAATTCGCGCAAAGCAGTTTTAAAGGGAAAAAATTGGAATTTATCCTATAGAAATGACTGTGATAGTCTGACGAAAAAAAATGGCAATCAACAAAGTATCCTCATTACTGTATTAATAAGTATGCATTATAGTTCAAACTCTAAATTAAGTTTTTTCGAAAGATTAAATTAAAAAATTACCGTAATTTTTTATTGTTATAAGCTGTGTAATGCTGTAAGTAGTGCTATGGATTTAAGCGCATATATATAGATAAAAGGTTAATGCAAATAGTAGCAAAACATAAATCCATAGATTTTATAATATTATAATTTATATATTAGTAAGTATACTGATACACGTTCAGCTTATTTAACTTCGATGTGGTTTTATAATAATTGTTTTTTAACGCTGTTCGTTTAACAAATTGTTAAAATTTATTAAAATATTTGTTATTATTTATTTATAAAATTAACTAACAGAAGAAATATCATAAAATAAGAACTATGTTTGACACAAAGTGTACAATCTAATAGTACAGTGTCCGAAAATACCATACATTTTTATCAAAATTCACAATAAATTTATTTAATTAAAAAAAAATGCACAGATTAAATAAAACAAATCATATATTTTATGATAAAAAATAAATATCAAGTTATTAAAAAAAAACAAATCACTTCGGTTAGTAACAAAATTAAAAATATTTAGGTATATACATACAATAAAAAAACATCTACCTAAAAAAAATTCATTCGAAATAAACAGTTAACCTAAACGTTTCATTTTCATCGACGTGTGTTAATCTGTTATTTGTGCATTGTTCATTTTACCAAAAGTCTTCAGTTTATTGTCTAGATTGTTTCCCAAATTGTTGTACGAATCGTTCCAAGGTTGGAGCTTGGCACTTCCAAAAATTATAAAGGTAATAGTCGAAGTCATCATTATGATCAACATTATCCAAAACACTAAACGCCATTCTAGTACAGTTCTCTGAAACAATCCCAAGTGAAATTTTAAAAGGCTAATTATACTAATTTTTAATATTACAAATTATTCTCTGAACCCTCGTTTGTAAAACGTTTTATCAACCCTCATTCTCAATATTAGATCTCTCCTGACCCGTATTTCCTATAATGACTAAATTGTACAGTATGTTTGGGTTAAAGGTCACTCGAGGATCTTGGAATCGATACACTGCTGATTCCCTTGCTTTCTTAACCGCCTCCTTTAATTGTATGCAGTCTGTTTTTAAGGAGCTTTGTATAGGCAATATTTCAGAAAACATTTTTATTATAAATTTCGACCATGTTAATTAATTTTCCGGTTAATTTTGTATAAGTTTCAAGGTATTATTTTTAATTTATGTAATTTTTTCTAAGAGTAAAAGTCATTTTGGCTTATTTTGGGCCAAGCTAGACAAAATTTCGACTACCTACTTAGAATGGTCCAATTCAAACGTCAAAAAAACCAACCACGTGCAAACCCCTTAATATAGGCACATGAAACGTCTACTTTGGTCATAATCTTCTTTCCGCATCTGCTCCTTTTTCGTCTCTCTCAATTCCCACTTCATACTGCACCTACTATGTTCCTACTATGCTCCACTATTGTTTCCATAATAATTACGTTAAATAATACTTATAAGTTGAATGATAATTACTTGTGTCGTTAGAACTCCTGTAACGTACGGTGAAATCATTCCTGTCATAGATCCAATACCGTTGACTAAAGCCATTATCGAGGCTGAGTAGTTTGGCGACAAGTCCAAAGCGTTAATCCTAATGCTGGAACAACTAAAGCCCATCATAGACATACCCAGCGTGAAGAAAAGCGTCGTTGCAACTGTGTCACATCCCACAAACGACGCGGCCATCACCCCGTAAGCCGGCAATATGTTACCTAAATCGCAAAGACATCAATTTAAGACATAATATATGTATATTTTGCAATTTTAGTTTCGACGAGGAGCTGAGATACAAGCTGAGCTGAGCTGAGTATTTACAAGGATGTTTTTTTAAAATTTATATTTTTGTGTCTATCCACATTATGTTCTAAGCCGCTTAACCTATATTTTCGTGTAGCAACTCTATAGATCAGAAATCGTACCTGTAAGGTACTTTGTTGGGCCGAAAAATAAAAAAAATTCACCCCTCCCCCTTCAAAATCGAGAAAAACACCCTCAAAAATTACAAATTTTTCAACTTAAAATTATGATGCTCTATAACTTTTTTAAAAATAGTCAAATTAGTTCCAAATTTGATGAAATTATTCTTTAAACATAGTAGAACCGATTAACATAACTCAATTAAAAAAAAAAAAGAAAGTTAAAGGCGTAAAAGGTAGTAACTCGAATCCATATATAAAAATGATGAGGAAGGGGGAAGGTATAAAACATATTCTATAAATTACTTCAATTCGAGAGGTTTTTTTTATTACTAATTTACCGACGGCAGCAAAAGTTTTCCTAACAGCCGTGACGGACATGTAGTTTTTTTTTAACAGCCAATCGCACAAGATGCTCGAAGAAATCGACGTGATCCATTGCGCCATGAACGGAATCGACGACAATAACGCATTCTGAAAAAAAACAATACTAATAAAATCGATCGCCGTTAAAAAAAAAAATATTCACACAAATCATTTACTTGTTTTATGGAAAAATGTAGCACGTCGTTTTGGTACTTTGGCAGATCTGTCATTATAGTGTAAAAAGCCCAATCGTGTCCACATTCTATTACGATTAGCGCCCAAACGGGCCAGGACGTCAATATGCGTTTCCACGGAGTAGGCGCTAAATCCTTTTGAATTCATAAAAATATAGTATTTTTTTTATATAGTATATTATGTTGTTTGATGATAAATTTATTTGCATACACAGCATTTCCTATTAGACAAGACTTGTCAAAACGATAGTTAAAAAAAAACTAGCCCAGTTAATCTTTTTTGGAGATGGGAATACCTCACTAAATTCTATTTCCAACTAAGATTAGGGTTTAGCCGTCCAAATATTATCATTATGATAAAATCGTCTCCAATAATAAAGAACTACACTTGATTAGTATTAAAACGACCTAAAACATATTCTATACATAGGGTACTGGTTAAAAAAACAGGCAAGTCACTAATAATGGCCATTTTGTTGTTATAAAATTCGTTTTGATATGAAATGATCTGTTCTTTCATTTCAAACATGATTTTCAAAAATAAATTTTAATTGTTTTTTAAAAAGTTTTAAACATTTTTTAGTATTATTTAAACATGATTTTCATAGATTTTAAAAAAAATTGATTCCTGGGTTTTTCCCTGAATCCTTTACATTAAGTCTAAAATTAATCGAAATTGTTTTGACATATACATCTTTTGGTAAAAATTGGCGTCATAACACGTTTAGTGTCTCGTTGAACTACCACGGTTACAGGGACGGATCTAGAAACGAAAAAAGTGTGGGGATATTTAAATATATTATATTATAATAAAAACGATACAATTTTAATGGATAAAAATTACTAAGCACGTAAGGGAGATCCTTCAGCACTCATATCCCCTACCCCTTGTATCCACCCCTGCATGGTTACCAACGGGCTATAAACAACGCGTTGACAACATATTGGATCATATAACTTATTTTTTCTCTATTGCAAAATTCTTACTTCAATTTTTTCCACGTTTCCAATGGACTGTTTAAGATATTCTCGTTCTTCCTCCGAAATGAACGGATGCGACTCCGGATCGTCGTAGACGACCATGCACCAGACACAAAACCAAATAATCGAACAAGACCCGTATATATAGAACACGTTAGGCCAACCGCCGGGCACGTAGACAATAATCATACCGCTCAACAGGATTGCCAGTATGTTTCCGATTTGAGCACCTGATTAACATTTTTTTTTAAAGTTATAAAACAATTTTTGACTATTATTTTAAATAACTGTTCGCTCACCAGAAAATACAATGGTCGACAGTCTTCCTTTTTCAAGCGGCGGTGCCCATCGCGCCAACAGCGTACAAAGCGCCGGGAAAGTCGAACCCTAATATTGATATTTTGTTAAAGAGATTAACACAGTATTATACAGAGGGTTTCAAGAAGGATAAGACACTCGTTTCCTCTTAAAATAATGATTGCGGTTTTGTAGTTTTTCTTTTTAAGAGATACTCTCATTTAGTTGATGTCGGTTTACTATATTCGAATTGTTATCTTGTTCATTTTTATCCAGAGCTTAATCGACTTTTGACACTTAAAGGGTTACGTGTATTATAATTTAATTAACCGTTTAAATTAAAAATTATTAGCCGGATAATTGCTTTTAAGGTTACTGAAATTTTAAACGATTTAAGAAATTAGGAAGCGCGGTAGATAATAATACGTGCCGATAAAAATACATTTTTAACATTAAAAGTAATTATCCAAAATTGGTTATTCACAAGTCAACATTTACGGCAAATTAATTTTAATCTAAAAAGTTACGCTAAATGTATACATTGCCATTTAAGTTTTGGACATTTTTATAGAGCGCTGGAAAATACTAAAATAGCTAGTACAGTGGGGTCGAGGCATAGTGGGAACGGGGAGGTCACAGGTCTATAGGAATTGTTATAATTAAAAGTGATAAAACCACTTTTAAATAAACGCTTCACGTCGAATCTGTGGTTTAATAAATTGAAAAATATGTTTTCACATTTACATTTTTCGGGCGTTTTCCTTGATTTTGAAAGGAAAGAAGGGAATTTTTTTAATTTTTGGCCCAATAAAGAGCCTTTTATGTACGATTTATAATCTATAGAGTTCCTACACGAAGAAATCGGTTTAGCCGCTCAGAAGATATCGAGGGTATAGACGCAAAAAGAAAAAACACATCATTGCGCATTGAAGCTAAAATTTAAAAGAAATCACTGAATATTTTTGTCAAAAAAAAAAAAAATCTGTTGACGGAAAAGTAATAGTAAATAGTAATGGCATTGAGTATATATTCTTAAAATATATACTCAATGGTAATGGTTATTATTTATTTAAAATTCTCAAAAAAATCGATCACTATCTTATTATATTATAAAATAAAAAACACATCAACTCCGCATCGAAGCTAAAAATGTGTAAAATTTAGTAGTTTTTAAATATTGTAATGATAACATATACAATATTATTTTAAAAGATATCGAGCGTCTTATCCTTATACTGAATCACCGCCATGTATTATTTTTGCGAATAAATAAATAATAGTGATTTTGTATGATATTTTACCTCGCCGAGACCTTCGACGAACCGCAAGGCCATCAGCGGCGTCGGACCGAAATGAGCGACGAACGGCGTGAGCAACGTTAGCACCGACGAGCAGAGTACGCCCAGGCCCATGATGTACTTGCCGCCGTACTTTTGCGCCAAAATGCTGCCCGGTATGTGCGTGATGATGTAGCCGTAGAAGAACGCCGACAGGACCATTCCTTGCGTCGGCTGGTCCCAGTCGAATCGGTCGCCGTAGTTCTCCACGACGGTGGTGGTGTTGCCATCACCCAACTTGACCGACGGCGGCACCGGGCAATAGATGGACTTTCCCTTGTCGGCCGCCGACTGAACGTTGTTGACGGTCGCCAGCACCATCTGCGTTATGGTGACGCTCAGCGAGGCTCGCATCAGCATGGTCATTGTCAGGCCCAACGTGGCCATGGCGGCCATGACCCATCTCTGAGGGAAATATTCTGCAAAAAAACACAAACCACCATACATTTTTCAGTCATTTCTATATTCCTACCCCCCTTCCAATCTAATTGTTTATAAATCTACTTTTGACACAGTAACGCATACATTTCATTGACTTTTTAAAATGAGAATAATGTACTAAACATTTTGACTGGTCGATTTACCAGTTTTGGATAACTATTTTTGAAGTTATTGAAGTTTCAAGTTTAGGACAGGAGGAAAGGTGGAGTGTAGTATTATTTTTAACTGCGCGCATTTCCCAACCGCACTTCGCTTCCCATTCTAACATTTAACACTCTTATACATTTTAAAATTGTAACTAAAAACTGGTTATCAACTAGTCGACATTTTAGTAAAATATTCTTAATTTTAAAATTTAATGACATATGTTGCTATCAAAAAAACTAATTTGGTAGGGGGGTCGGAACAAAAAAATTTGTGGAAAATTGTCATCACATTATATAAAAAAGAACTCTACGCGCACTTCCCCTCCTAAACTCTCCTAAACTTAAAACTTCAACAACTCCAAAAATAGTTGCTCAAAACTGGCTATCAACCAGTATATACATTATCATGCTATAATATATACGTTATCATTTAAGTTTCAAAAGTTTATATAAAAAAAATTAGTTTGGGAAGAACAAAAATAATTGTGAAAATAGAAATCAAATTGTATAAAAACACTTTGACAAAAAAAAATTAATTTCTTTTTAGTTATTAACCCCTATGAAATATTGAATGGTTCACGATCAAATTATCGTTTTCTATCAAGGATTACTCACTAATATTTATGGCAATGTTATTTTTATATTCTTCGTCCGATTTGTCAACGGTCTGTATGGAGGTTTTCATTTTCATATTTTCTCATCTGCGCGTAAGATTTTAAACAATCGAATAAAAAGGAAACAAAAGGCCAAGCCAACAGTGGACAATCAAAAATAATACAGTTGAGTGAAACGTTTTTTTTTATAAGATTTTACAAAACACCATATTATCTTTGATTATTTCAACCATTTAAATTCATTTATAACGACAATTACTCGTAAATTTAATAATTGTAACGTTGCGCTTGTAATAAAATTAATGACAGCCGCAGACTATTCCAAATCGGATAAACAATTTTAGCATCTGGCCATACAAACTTATCGAAAAATCGTTTCAGCAATTATAACAATTATCGTGTTTATCAGGCTCGTACAATGAAATAATTTGGTGTAATACAATATGATAACACCGCGTAGAGTCTTGGTCGAATATTTTTGCACAAAAAGTGTTTATTTTTGAAGAAAAAATTTAAATAATAAAAAAATATCAAACATTCTGTTGCAAGTTGCCAACGCAAGTTTCATACTTTTAAAATAAAAATGATGGCTTTATTTTCCTTAAGACACATGGTAGCTGTTGTTAGTGTAGTTAGATGTGTTAATTAAAATCCTCTGAATGTAAGACTTTTTCAATTGAAACTACTTTGTTTTATGATCGTTCAAAATGGGCTTTGCGCGGAACATAAGAGGATTTTTGGAAAAGTAGTTTATAAAATCTACCCATGTTTTGTTACTTTTTTGTTTGTTTATTAAAACTTAAAATAAAGGCATTAAAAGTCCGAGCGTTTTAACTATAAATAAATACGATTAGAACAATTACATACTATTTACCACTAATAGTATTAACCAAAGCTATCCTACAAAAAATAAAAAATAAATTATTCATTTGCAAGTGGTTAACAGTAAACGTATAATTTTTTTTTTTTAAACGTTTGGCTACAAAATTACAATGACATAATAAAGTTTATTCCGTTTATCTTTTACTGGTGTTTTAATTCTTATTTCAACTGCGAACGAGAATAATGGATTTTATTATTTATAATTACATGATTCATCAATGATAATTGATAATGACGACCGACGAAGACTAGAAAGTAATTAAATGTTGATAAGAACCGACGAAGAAATTGTCTGTTTTCACATTACATACAAACAATACAAATTCTTGCGAGTGCCGTTTAGTTTTTTATAAGCGTGCAAAAAATATTTAAATATCAAAAAACGTGATTAGATACTATGATTTCGTAAGGGCCAAACAATTGATTAATAGGGGATAAAAAAAAACTAAGATTATCACTCTACAAATAAGACGTATATCGGCTAAGAAAAACAACACAATAATAATAAATGACGACACTATTTAACAACGGTTAAAGCCTAGTAATTATAGAAATAAATGTTGTTAAGCTGATATTTCAATAAAAAAAAAACAATGGTTAAAGCTAATCTCCACGATAATAAATTATTATTCATTGCATTGTGTAAATAATGCAAACACTCGTTTATTTACAATCTGATGGTCGGTATAAGACGATATCATATAGTTTACTGGTTTATCGGAAATGGCCTTGTTTGAATTATTTTGAAAAAAGCTCTTCGCTCAATATCATATTTTACCAAAAAAAAAACGTCAGCCGCTTGTAAATGCATTTGACGAATTTAAATTTGAAATCACCGGTTAGTCGGTAAATACTGTTAAAAAAAAAGCAGATGCAGTGTTATAAATAAACTATTATTCAGGAAACCCAAATAAGGCCACCAAAATTGTACGACGGACAAACAAAACTGAGCATTTTGAGTAAAATTTTAATAACTTTAAAGACTTACTTTGGTCTAACATTTCTGTAGTGTTACAACGTGATAAGAATTATAATAATATTTTCCGTTTGTGTTTTGCTAGATGCAACTAATTTATTAGTGAGTTCATTACGAAAACAAGAACAATAAAATTAAATAACGATACATTTTTAAAAAAGTAATATTTGCTCGAATAAAAACCAAAATTTAATTGTCTGAAGTGTCTTTTTGTACATCTTTCGACATGCACGTTATTTGCTATTGTGGGATCATATTCATTGTACCTATCATCTACATTCTTACAAGTTGTATATTGTAGGTACACCAACAGAGTTGGCAATAGCAGTTGACCAACGGTTGGGTTCATATTATTTGATTAGAGTTTATGTACAAAATATATAAAACGGGCAAGCGTTGAATAGTATCACCTAATAAAAAAAACCAGTTTTCGACTATCCGTGAGTTATTTTAAATCATGTTATACAGAGTGGTTTATTTGTTTTCGGAATTCGATTATTGTCATAAACTTTGTTTTTATACGTAGCAGCGTTCCTTTTAGACTAGAAGAGAAACATTATTTACAAGCGAGCTTAGAAGTTTTAATTTTCCATTTTCTTCGGATAATGTTTTGGTTTTACTTCTATTGACGTAGTGGGCCGTCATAAAAAACGTTTATCTCAAATATACTTAATGATACCTTAACTAGTCCATATAGACCTACAATAAAATGTCCCTACATACCGTATACTACTACGGTTTGTTAGAAAACACTTTCATTAAGTTGTTTTAAGATATTAACTCCAATAATATAAAGATAATACAATAAGTAAACAGCAGTTGTGTATAAGATGTGAACACCCAACACCGTCCGTATGCATATTTAATAATCAGGGCTAGGAAGTTGTAACATTTATACATTTTTTTTGGTAATTCTTAAAACATCTAACCCAGGTAAGATACAAATGTGTTTTACATTTCCCTAAAGTCATAAACGACATTTTTTTTTGTCAATTTTTGCATAATATTTACATCCATTTTTTTGGCAATTTTATTTTTCATATTTTCTAATACTTAAATGCTATTTATTGCGCAAATTTTAAGAGTATATTAAAGCGCTAAAAAGTATTTTTTAAAATTTTTGGTAGTGCTATAACTTCTGAGTCCAGTTAATAATTAATTAAAAAATACAAACGTGTTCAATTTATATATTCTAATTTTAAACTACCTACTTGTTTTACTACCGTGTAATATAAACTATGTTATTATAGGAATAAAACATGCCTATGAATATATTTAATGGTAAAAGACACAGTGGATCATACGATAATGGCAGTTCTGATTTTAATTGTAAGTAGTTATCGAAATTTACTTAAGCTTTAAACATTTTAAACGTGAATGCACGCGGGAAAAAACCTTTTGCAGCAAGAAGAGTTTGATCCAATTCACATGAAATAAACATGTATTATTGTCAGACTAACTTATACATTTTTCAAAATAACTTTTATTCAGTGAATACAACTATAAAATATAATACTAATCTAATAAAAAAAAAAACAAAATTAGTCTAAGCATAAATATAATTACACGAATGAGAATTAATTAGTATTAAAATGCTGATTTGATAGGAAATTTATAGATACCCAAATTTAACGCATTGCCTAAGAAATCAAATAATTTTTCACCCAAGTTTTTTCGAGTGTTAATAATTTCCTAGAAAAAAATAATAAACCTAGCAAACAAATATGATTTATTGGCATAAGATTATGATTTAAGATAATTTATTTATTATTCCTAAGCTAGTTAAAAAAAAAATGTAGGTCTATTAACTCACGAGCATACCCTAAACTTCTGCTATCTATTTTTTAAAAAAATTTTAACATTCCATAAAGAAGAGACTAGGAGAAAATTTCTGAATGAAACATAAAACATTATAATCCAATGTACTCATTTAGGAGTTACGTGGGTGATAGGAAGGAAGTAACTCAGAAGAAAAGAAAAAAGGTTCAGACCCCCCTCTAGAAACTAGCCAATTGTTAAGTAATACAAATCAAAGAGTAGCGTTGCTCATGGAAGTAGGAGTGAAGTGAGGTTATGAACTAAAGAAATAGCAGACTTGGCCACAATGTAGATATCACTACTTTAATAGGCTGAATTTTTTGGGAGGGTGTCTGGAACTTGACCCTTTTTCACTGTTATGTTTTTGTTGGAGATTTTTTTCACGTTGACCGTTGACGTTTAGTTATTTTGATTTTTTAGTAGGCCAGTTGGAGGCAGACGACAAAAACTCTACATACGGACGAAATTCCACAAAGACATGTTTCGTTAAGACGACTAAAGAATTGTTTACCTACAAGTTTTTGATTAAACGGCTACCGATACTGCAATGGCTTCCAGTATACACGGTGGAAGACGGACTCGGAGATCTTATGTCCGGCTTGACGGTAGGACTTACGATAATCCCACAATCGTTGGGTTACGCCACAATAGCCGGTTTACCGCCTCAGGTAAATTTCAATTGGCAATCACATAATAGGACGACATTTATCAGAAGGGAACCAAACTTGATCCGATCAAATAAGATTCGTGTCAATCCAAAATTTGCGTGCACGGTCGTGTCGATAGAGTATCAATAGTGATGTATACAAAAAAAAAATAGTTAAAGTCAGGGAAGGGTAGGTGCCTAATTATCGAATCTAGAAACAAGGATAATCAACTGATAAGTCGCAGAAAATCAAACGATCATAAGACATGATCCATTGTCTTTTCCACGAGGAATTCTTTTTTCACAAACATAATTTTACTCTTACTTTCCATACTCCCCATCCTAAAACATTCAGTCCTATTCAAAACTGCTCTTGACTCGGGTTTTCTTGTAATAAATGCCGTCGTCTGATCGACAACCGTGTAAGACTTGACAATCATTTTTCAGTACGGCCTCTACGGTTCATTTCTTGGCAGCATATTATACGTGTTTCTGGGAACTTGCAAAGAGATCTCCGACGGTCCATCGGTCATTCAATCGCTGGTAACGCACAAAGCGCTTAACGGCCTTGGACCATTGTACGGACATTTCTTGTGCTTTATGACCGGACTGATTCAGTTGGCCATCGGAAGCCTAGGACTAGGTGCGTGCCGTTCGAACGGAATCATCAAAATAAATATTTCAAACCTTTGTTTTTTTCGTAGGATTTTTCGTGGATTTCATTTCGAGCCCGGTTACTTCGGGATTCACGTCGGCGGTCTCGTTGTTGATTTTGGCTTCCCAAATAAAACACCTTTTGGGAATCAATGCGGTCGGTGTCACTATGCTGGAAGTAGTCGTTTCGGTATCGCGAGACATAAGACATTTCAGAATTGGCGATACGTCGCTCGGGATCGCTTGTATTATAATTTTGCTCTCGTTGAGAGTAAGTCGTAAACGATATAATATATATTATCTGTATTTTTCGCACAGAACCACTCGAAAAGTCTACTCGACCGAGTAAACACTTGACCTAACCTAACCGAATACCCAAAGCGCAGTTATGATATGACGGGTGCTTGCGGTTATGTTAGCTTTTATTCGACCATACAACCTAACATTTCTATGATTTATCAAATATATGACCACAGACTATATAAAAATGATCTGTGATATGCATAGATATATATATATACAAGGTGATCAACTTATCGTGAACCACCTAATATATCACTGGGTTTATTAAGAAATTAAATGTTTTCTTTACATAAGGTTTTATGCAATGTGAACTCAATTTTTCTACAATTTTTTAGTTTTTACCCTTCTCTCAACTTTTGAAATTTAAATGGTAACGCATACATTTCATTGACTTTTTAAATTGAGAATAATGTACTAAACATTTTGACTGGTCGATTTACCAGTTTTGGATAACTATTTTTGAAGTTATTGAAGTTTCAAGTTTAGGGCAGGAGGAAAGGTGGAGTGTAGTATTATTTTTATCTGCGCGCATTTCCCAACCGCACTTCGCCTCCCATTTTAACTTTTAATCTCTTGTATGAAATACTCTTATTATCTAATAATTATATCTAATAATACTCTTTCTATGAAATCAGTACACAAAATGGCTGCCTCCCAAGTCGGGACATTTTTTAACCTTAAAACGCGTTCCATAATATATTGAATTCAGTGTTTACGGGTTTAGCTGGTTATTATTATTATTTTTTCAAATAAAATATAAATATTATACTTTTCAAGAGCCTCGTCGAATGTCGTGTCGGACCGAAAAACCCAAAAGAACAAACCAATTTCCAAAAATATGCCAACCGCGCCATTTGGATTGTCGGTTGTTTTAGAAACGCAATTGTTATTATTGTTTCTACCTATATTAGCTACGCTTTAGTCAACTCGACGGGACACAGTGTCACTTCGGATTTGCCACCGCCAATACCTTTCAAAGTAATAGGTGTGTGTATTAAAATTAACCCGCAAAGTACGACGTTTCAGGGACATTTTTTTTTTTACTTTCTAGGTAAGCTCCCGTCGGGTTTGCCAGGTTTTCATTTGCCACCGTTTAGTTACACGCAAAGCGACGAATCCACGACAGACTTCTTCGGGATGCTTTCCAACATCGGTTTCAGCGTGATAGTCGTACCGTTAATAGGTATAATGGAACACATATCCATATGCAAAACGTTTGGTCAGTACAATGTGCCATACCGTCGACCGTGTATCGATGACGATGCTTTAAACGGATTATTGATTTGATCGATTCTAGCAAATGGCAAAACGGTCGATTCTAACCAAGAGATTATCGCGATCGGCTTGTGCAATATTGGAAACTCGTTTGTCCTGGCGTTTCCCGGTACGGGATCATTCTCTAGGGCGCCTATAACTAGCACCAGTGGCGTTAGGACGCCCATGGAAGGTCTTTACTCAGGTAACATGGCCGTTTTAACGATAATTGTGCATAAATTGTGTTTACACAGAAATGTTACAACAATAGTTGTTTATTTCTTATTATTTTTAACATGGATATGTTTTTGGGCTGGGGTCATTCCCCACGTCACGTCACGTCACGTCACGCCCAAAAACATGGCCGTGATTCAATGTTTTTTGTTGTCGCCCCTTAGATACAACGTCGAAATCACTATAAATTACTTAGCGCTTTAGTCGTGAAATTTAGCGTTTTCCATTCGCCAATGGCGAGAAATTGAATAAATTCTACTTTTAGGCACTCTGGTGATATTAGCGTTGATGTTTTGTACCGAATTTTTCTATTACATCCCAAGAGCGTGTCTGGCAGCAGTTATCGCGACTAGCGTTGTGTTTATGATAGAAGTCAACGTCGTCAAACCCATTTACAGGTCGAATAGTATGTAAAACCCGATTGAATTACAGTTGTATTAATCGCATATACCAACACTATTATTATAGTAATATTATATGTTTCGATTAGAACGATAAAACGTTTTTGCTTTTTTACCCAATACAGAGAACGACCTTATACCGTGCTTGGTGACATTCATCGGGTGCCTGTTACTGCGCATAGAAATCGGAGTTATGATCGGCATTTGCGTTGACATGGCAGCCATCCTGTACCATGCCGCAAGACCTCAAGTTACCGTTCAAGTGAAAACGGTCGGTAACACACATAAATAAGATATTTCGGGGACGTCGTCACGATGATACTATGTTCAACCAAAATAATTGTTCATTTTTTAAAAATTGTTTTGCGTTTTAGTCAGGAAATGGCGTTCAGTATTTGACGATAACGCCCGACAGGTACTTGGTGTTTCCGTCGGTTGACTATGTTAAAAATCTTATAATCAAACACAATAAAAAAAAAAACCTGCCTGTCGTCATTGATTGCTCGCACATTTATGGGGCGGACTTTACCACAGCGAAGGTCTGACGCGCTTGTCCGCTTGTTTTAGGAAGTCGGTTTGAAACTAATTAGAAAAAAAAAATGTCAATACAGGTGATAAAAGTGCTGACTGATGGATTTTCAAAAAGAGGACAAGCCCTGTTGTTCTACAACATGAAACCTAGCGTGGTGGCCATTTTCGAAGGAGTCAAGCCGAAGGATTTCATATCGTATTACCACAATAACGACCTAGAGTATCTATTGAACAAGCAGACTTCGTTAAATACCATATGTGCTTAATAAAAATATACATATTTTCTTTTGTATACATACAATATAGTCGTATAGATACCATTTACGTAATGTCGGTTTATTGTCTACAATTTATACAGTAAAAAGCAATTTTGTCCACCTTTTTAAAATTCTTACATAACACGCAGTGTAGTATTATGTTTGACAAAGCGAATTATTTGTAAAAATAAAATACTTAGTGTTTATTCACACCCGCGCACACACTGCACATGCATATTCAGATGTTTACCATAATAATACAAAATGTAAACTGTCGCTGTCTTTAAAACACACGACCGGGTTCATTAATGGTGTAATGAATCATAATAGACATTTTAAGTGGTTGTTCAAACATCAAACAGTGGCCAGTGATTAGTTCAATTCACCGTTAAAATTACCAATCCGTTTGTTCGTGCGACCCAGAATTTGCATAATTAAGCACCTCTGTAAGTTTAACAGTTATATGGCAGTTGACTCGACAACGGTTTATTTTTTAACAAATCAATTATCTTTACAGTTAATAAAAGTAAAAACATGAATCGTGGTACAGCACAATAATCACAGCGTTTTCTAAAAAAAAAAACATTTTTATCAACTTACTCGAGTGGTTTTTTGTTTCCTATAAGATATTATGCTTTTCTTAAGTAATACTTCATTTTTATTTTGCAAAACGTTTTTAGTTTATGTTCTACTGTTAAAGTAACTATTTATATTCGGCTATTCATCGAATAACTAAAATAAAATAACTAGGTAGGTACATAATAAAACTGATATGGACACTTAGGATTTTTACAGAAAAGTATCTTTAATTATACGACAAATGAATTAAGTAATTTTTATGTTTTAATATACCTACAGTAATTAGTATACAGAAAGACGCTTAATAACTGACTAATGTTGTACTTATTGTGTGACTAATACTAACATTGTAAAATTAATAAATGACAATTGTTGTAAGTAGGTATGATAATATTATCTACGCCAGTCAACTGTTTTTTTTTTAATTTGATATAATTTTAAATGTCAGGTTGTACGTTTCAATATAACTCATAAGAATAATTAGCGGTACAAAAATTAAAGATAAGATCTCATTCGCTTTGTTGTATCAGATGAAACACGAGTTATCTGACCAAAAGAGAATTATAATAATAAAATAATATATTATATTAATTAACAGACAAGGGAGAGACACGGTGTTCCCCGAAAATGTATCCACTGTAGAAGAAAATTTAATTTTTTTTTATATGAAACTATCATTTGTGTCGTTTTACCTGTTATTTTTACAGCCCAAAATAAAACATTAAAACTTTTATGTGTGAATATTTATTAAAATTTAAAATATCTATTTGTATAAAAAATGGTTTACTCGAATGTAATAATTGGTCAATAACCAGTTTTGAAAATACAGTTAGATGGTTAGATGGAAAAAAATATGTTTAGGTACCTAATCTAAACCTCTCTTCAGTCGTCCTTTATAGTAAAATATAATTTTCTTATGGCTATTTTTTGGTTTTACGAAGAAAATGTATAAAATTCGTTTTTTCAGCGTTTTTCAGTATTGAAATATTTAAAAAGTAAAATTTTTTTTTTCTTTAAATGGTATTTTCCTTCTGAGAAAATGTAGTGCACCCTGTACCGCCTCGTAAGATGCGCCCTGTATGCATACATATTAATTTAATTACATCAAAAGCATTTTTTTTTTATAACTGAATGATAATATTTAATGTTTTATTAACGACTACTTTTTGTTTTATAGCCGTTTATTATCAGTTATAGATAATATTTTAGATTTTACACATAATTACATAACGTTCAAATAATTTCCCACTCGTTGTGGGTTGATTTAAATTATCGCAGAGTATACAGCTGTGAAGCCGTAATAAGTTATTAATTATTATTAATATTACATTACAGACCTTGAATGAACACTGGTCGACACGACTAAAACCTTAGTACGTTGACCGACAGACCCGATTGACCTAGTGTGCCTTCTAGGTACGTTGCAGCAGCCGCTCATCTGCTGATCTCAGTTCAGTGCTATATTATGTATATTATGGTTTATCAGATCAACATATTATTTTGAAAATCGCATAGTTGTATAATAAATTAACCACGCGATAATTACCATTACTCATAAACATATGGTATGTAATTACTTTCCGTGTTCACGGTACACATAATTTCTTTATTGCAATGTTGTTACTTTGATTTTTTTTTCAAATGTAATTAGAGGTTTTTTATATATATTTAATTGTTTAGATTATTTAAATGGACAACCCAAGTTTTAAAAACGACAACAATTATGAATTGCGTCAGGAAACGACAGAAAACAACGACCGTCTGCGCCAGTTGGATGACCGCGAGATTGTTTGTAAGTATGCTTTTCGAACTTAAGTAGAACATCGGTTATAAGCATTTCTTATTTAAAAAATGTTCACCTGTGCGTTAAGCCTGTTACCTATGCGTTTATTTGTATTCTTTATATTATTAAGAAAGTTTTATCCAGCTTGATATTAAAATAGATGCACTTATTCTAATAAATATAACCAAACACAGGTTGTCCGGGTTTTAGAATAAAAAAATAGCGCGTGGAATCAAATTAAAATGGCAATTTTTATAATCACAAATTGTGTTCACACGCGAGAAAATCCTCATGCCGGACTTGTATAAAAATAATTTACATTACAATGTATGGGCCAAAGTCCATGTGATAAGATATTTTTTTTATATCTATTGTCTATAAATCAACGTTTTTGTTTTATTATTTATTAATTCGGTGTCCTTATCCAAAACAGTAGTATCTCTGTTATTAAGAAAGTGTTTTTATAAGGAGATGCGTGTGCCCATTAAAATATATAAGTATATATTTTTTAATCAACGCACGTTGTCATAATATTACGAGTTAATAGACCATCTATTTTAATAATATTGCCAATTAATAGTAACTATTGAGAACTTGGAGTTGACTCCACAAAATCAACGAAACCACTTTCGGAAAAGAAACGTTCATCAATGGCCATCGACAATAGCGGATTACTCAGTTGCCAAACTGTACATTCTACAATGGTTGCCGGAATATTCGTCAACCAAATTTGTAGGCGATTTGTTGGCCGGATTGACCATAGGCTTAACTGTAATACCCCAGTCGATGGCATTAGCGAGCATAGCTGGATTGCCACCACAGGTGAGTGCATATAATATACACATTTTTCTTAGCATTATTCGCCAATGGAAGTTCATAAACTAAATAAACAGTATAAAATAGAGCGAATAGACTTGATCATTTTCTACAGTTCCAGTGAAAACGTTCGTAACTTATATACTATTGACACATTATTCCTTAAAAACTATGTATTTGCTAGAAATTCGAATCCACTGCAGAGTTGTTTTCGGAGCTATGGTCTCAGCCTCATTACTGCGATAGCATTTCAAAACGAAACAGCTCTCAGCTCTTAAAATTCTATTATTCCCTTACCCCCACGCACTCAACGAGACCACCTATGGGTGAGGTTCTTGACCGATTCAACCAGAAAAAACACGGGACCACCTTAGACTGTCCCAGAAACTCAGCGGGAACTTCCATTGGCTGTGACTGTTAGGATTATGGATAATAATTTACAGTTGTGTACCTAATGAAAAAGGATCTGACTTCATTTTTTTTATTATGTCGTGTGTAGTATGGCCTGTACAGTTCGTTCGTCAGTCCATTGGTATATGCATTGTTCGGAACCAGTAAAGCGGTGACTATGGGTCCATCGGCCATAGTCGCACTGCTGACTTACAACGCCATCCGAGACCGCGGTCCGGCTTACGCGACCCTGTTGTGCTTCCTGAGCGGCTCCGTCCAGCTGTTGATGTCGTTCACCGGCATGGGAATGATTATGAAATTCATATCGGAACCGGTGTTCAAGGGTTTCACTTCGGCAGTGGGCATTCTCATCATTTGTTCGCAACTAAAAGACCTGACGGGCACCAAGGGCCACGGCGCCACCTTGTATCAGATGCTGAGTTCGTTTTCCGGAGACATCAAGAACCTCAGCTTCGGAGACACAGCGATAGGAATAGTGTGCATTATAACGTTGCAAATTTTAAAAGTACAACTCCCATAATTCGAATCATAAAACAATTTATTTAAATTTTGCATCAACTGTGACACCTCTTCTTTAACTTCAACTCGAACCAAAAATGGATTGTTTTATCCTTAGAATTCGATATAAAAGTTATTCATTAATTTGTTTATTTCTGCAAAAAAATATCTTTTTAGCCACCTGATATTGTTTTTTGCAGTCTCTAAGCATAATTCGCGTCGGTTCGAAGATAAAAGAGTTACAAACTCCTACTCACAAATTCATAAACAACAGTCTTTGGATAGTCGGTGCATTTAGAAACATGTTTGTTGTCATCTTATGCAGTGCTATCGGCTATCATTATGTAAAACATTCAAACCACGACATCACGTCCAGCGTTAAACCTCCTATTCCGTTTAAAGTCATCGGTAAGTACGCTTGTGAAGTATTAGTCTAGTATGTATTACTTGGTGGTATATTAGATGATCGACCAGAACGACATTTAAGTCAGGCAAGTGTGCTTTCAGGACTCGAAAATGTATCTATCCTTTTTCGAAAATACTTCTCTTAAGCGTTTAAACGGTTGCGCTATCTTTATCAATTTTAACCTTATTACATTTATACTCAAATGTACTACATACTGCTAGAGCTTGTGATATATAAAACTACTGTTTTAATAGTAAATATAGTAATGGTAAGTGTCTTTAAAAATCAGGATCCGTAAAAACGGTAGATGCAAGATTTCGATTTGTCTCTGTTTCGAGATACCTATATTGAGACCTGAAACACCGACGTTATGATGTGGGATATTCTGTAGTGTACATTTTGAGATTCGCCATGAATACATAGTTTGCAAATCTTTGTCTTTCAGATAAAATACCGGTCGGACTACCGCAGTTGAGTTGGCCGGAATTTAACAGAAACGTGGACGGTAGAGTAGAAGGTCTCTACGAAATGATCTCTAACATGGGCCTCAGTGTAATCGTGGTACCACTCATCTCGTTGCTGGAAAACATTTCGCTTTGCAGGAGATTCGGTATGTCGAACTACTGTAATAATTGTGTAGTCCAATCGCGGTGAGAGTAATCATTGGCGAAATTGTCGTTTTAGCCGATGGTAAACTAGTAGACACGAACCAAGAACTCCTGGCATTGGGTCTGTCAAATTTGGGCACTTCATTCGTACACGGTTTTCCCGTGACCGGGGCTTTGGCCAGAGGTTCCCTGAACTATGCCAGCGGCGTTCAAACACCACTCGGAGGGCTGTACACGGGTACAGTAATTGTTTGCTTACCATAATACTATCGAACAGAAACGACTTTAATGTAATTTAAAGTTTAGGTTTATCTGTGATGGCGGGCTTGATATTTTTGACGCCATACTTTTATTATATACCCAAGGCTTCGCTGGCGTCCGTCATAATTGCCACATCATTTTGCATGATCGACGTCGAATCCGTCAAGCGGATTTACAAGTCTAAAAGTATAGTTTTGCATGTCTCTTAAACACCGAACCAGTTATATTATAACCGTATCCGTTTGTTTGATAGAAAAAGATCTGCTCCTCGGGCTGTTTACGTTCTTCGCCTGTCTGGTGTTTCCGTTGGAAATGGGAGTGGTAGCCGGTATTGTCTTCGACATCGGCTTCATACTGCACAGCGCTGCTAAACCCAAGATAACAGTCCAAATGCAAAAGGTAAAAAGTCAATAAAACGTTGTTATAAGTGCCTCCTCTTCGTCTCGTATCATACAAATGGAGTAGGCCAGCTAAATCCTCACCGTCCACAATTCTTTATTGACGGACATATCTTTTTCCACGCCACACATCTCCATGCATTTGTTTATGATCTCTATCTCTAATCCGTTTTACTATTTCGTTTTCTCCCTTTGTCTAACATGTCCAAATTTGTGCCTCTTTCATTTTCCTTGCTTGTTCGGCGCTTTAAAAACTTGATCTTGTATACTAATTATTCCTTATCCCATCTGACGTCATACATCCGCCTTGACATTGGTTTCAGCTACTTCTATTGTTTTTTTGGCCTCACTAAACGGAACGTTTCCGTCACATAACATTCCTATTTTGGCTCTTCCGCCTCACCATCTTTTACCCGTCTATCAAACTGTAATGCAATAAGATCATATTGTAACGCCCTATACTCAGCAACGAAGTAATCAAGAAGGCGAGCGACTTTACGACGACCACTTTAAATAAAAATAAATACTTTTTTATACATATCAGATAAATTCTAATCTGACAATGTGGTAATATTATAATTGATGGATAATATGTTATTCTATCGCATGGTTGCTGTAGAGAAACAAATTAAAAATATTTAGGCACGAGAGAAATGTAACTTTGTCATTGTGGTCACACTGCAGCTCGGCTTTTCGCTTGCTTCATAATATTTTACTTATTGCGAGTACCTCCTGGTACAATAATACAGTATTTACGGTAAATAATAATTTGAAACAGAGCCCCGACGACGTTAAGTACTTGCTTATGACTCCGGACAGATATTTGATTTTCCCTTCTATCGAGTACGTGAGCAAGTTGATAGCTAGCCATAACTGCACCGAAAAGATTCCAGTGGTGATTGACGGAACAAAAATATTCGAAGCGGACTTCACGACGGCCAACGTAATTCCGGGTTTACACTGATTATTCGGCTTTTGTTTGTTAATTTATAAGATGTGTACCTGTAATTTGATCGACAGGCGTTTTCAATACTCTCCAAGGACCTGGGTAGAAACGGACAGAAAATGTACATGTACAATCTCAAGTCTAGCGTGATCAACGTGTTTAAAGGCATTAAAAACAACAGTATTTCCATATGCTCGGATAAAAAAGAAATAGAAGAACAACTAAAAAATCAAATGTAAACAATACAACTTATGCTTATATTATTATGACGTGTTTGCTGTTTTTTTTTTAATCTTGGCGTATTTCACAGGATTGCACTGCAAACCGCAGGAAAAGTGGTGACAAGATCAAACTTGATATGATTAGGCACTATTTTTTAATAAACTGCTTATAGTTAACTTTATTAAACTTGACAACTATATAATGGTAATTGAACAATATGGGCTTCTATATTGAAAACTGTATAAACATATAAAGTAATAATATGGTCCAAGAGAAAAAACGTTAGATATTATAAAGTGAAATCCATACAACAAAATAACGGGGAAAGAACAGAAGATTAGGTTCTCGCGAAGAGTAATAATATAAGTATGTCTTTTATTTTATATAATATATTATTATAATGTAAATGCTAAAGCTATATAACAATCATGTGAAAATCAACACACACCCCTTTATTAGACGATTACAAATGTATTAGGTATTTTTTTTATATGTATTAAAATGTGTAGAAAATATTGTTATATTATTAAAATATATCTTTAGTTTTTGTACGACGATTTTTAATATTTTTTGCTCATGAAATAGTATTTAGGAAAGTAGTAATTTGTCTCGGTCATCTATAGTAAGAATACTTTTACAATTTAATGGTGTCGTTTATTTTTGGAATAAGTTACTGAATAATGAAACCGATAGCTCCGATATACTTGATATCCTTCACATTATTTTTTATACGTTATACAGGTTTGAAAGTTTCCAGTCGGTAATTGATATACATACATACTAAATATTTAATCTATGTATATACATAAATAAAATTAATATTGCACAAAATGTAAGTAATCGGTGTTTATTTAAAAAAAAACCAGCGATTTTGGATTTTTAAAAGTCGTTAAGACGTATTGTATTTTAAAAAAAAAATTTTATATAACATTTAAAGAGATTTTGAAACACTAAAAAAAAATTACATTATAAATAAACGTAAGATGGAAAAATATATCCTTTTCCTCGATACTGTTTCCAAATTTCCAATTCTTTTTTCATCCTGAGTATCGTTACGTCATTCCTTTTTTTAGCGCAGTCTTTAACGGAGCACTTTAATACTTGGCTACAATAGATTTTAAAATTATCATAAAACCGTTGATAACCCATGTAAACTCTAACTAAAAAACAAAACAAAATGTTTAAATTTAAATATAAATAATATTATGTTATTGTAGGGGCATGATGTGGTGCAGTCTCGTGTAAATCAAACATATTATTAAATGATATGTAACGTGTGTACTGTGTAGTTAATATTTACCTTCATCTATCTCCAAACATGGAGTATGGTTTACGTAACTAATCGCGATATCAAATTCATTTTTGTTATCAGTCATGTATTCGGCAAAATCCCATTTTGTAACAGTTGGAACTAATTCATCTCTTCTTAAACCGATGCTCACCCATGTTCTACAAACGTTGTACGCATTTATTATTATAATCTGAAAATTGTTTTCAATGCAAAGTTTAATTCCATCCGATTATAAAATTTAAATATAATTATAAATTTGAATATACGTATAACGTGAGTTATACACGTATAACTCACGTGCTAATTAAAAAAAAAAATATATATATATATATATATATATATATATATATATATATATATTATATTTTTATTACTATATTATTAATAAAAGTATACATTTTATTTATTTATTACTATTATTTTGTTAATAGGGAAATTGAACTTTATAATTTTCGTATTTTTTACTAAAAATAAAATAAAATAAATAACTTGGATTCCAAAAAAAATTAAAACTTAAAAATTGTTATTTTTTAAAATTAATTTAGAAAATATTTTAGTTAAAGTAGCTGGCATAACTGCTTCATGAGTGTACACGTCGCATTATTACAATTTTTAATATTTTATTGTTCAAACTAAAAAATCAAAATAAAGATTATATAATTTAGTTTTTGAAAATTATGATTCTATGTTTTCATGTTTTAGTAATCAAATGAATAAATTATAATTTATATACAATTTATTATAGACTTTTATTTATGATTTTAAAAACAATTTCATTTGTATTTAGAATATATTATTTCTTATGTTTGGATTTACAAATACAAATAATTAATTATTTAATCAAAGTGTGGTAGAACCTAATACAGGGTGGGCCACAAAGATTTGACAAATTAAATAACTTTTATTCTAGTGAATATTTTGTAGATTTTTTTTTAAAATAAGTTATACTCATTTGCGCTATAAGCACCACGGTTTTTATTGCACTTACCTGTTTTACTTTTTTTTATTTTTTTAAAATTTTTATTTTTTTCAAGCCAATTATATACCAATAATTTTTAAAAAATAGTTGAGAAAAATTTGTATTTTTATACATCCGTTCAAAAGTTATATTCATTTGAAAGTGAGGATGACTAATGACGGGAGGTGGAGTGCGGTAGAGTAAACCGCTAGAGTTATTTTTATCTGCGCGCATTTCTATGCGTATGCTATGCTCAAAGGCTTTAAGCTATAATAATAATAATTTCCTAGATAAGAATGGCTATTTAGGAAAACTTTTTCCTTTATTTTATAAATGATTCAGAAAAATATTGATAAAAACCTAATAGTTTTAAAATTATATTATAAATTACCCTCTCTTTAGCCTCCATATCCAGCTCGGCTTCGGTTTTCTGTCCAGGTGAAGCTGAACCGGAATATTCATTTATTTGTATTCTATGCTCAAAGTCTTTAAGCTATAATAATAATAATTTCCTAGATAAATATGGCTAGTTAGGAAAACTTTTTCCATTATATCATAAATGATTCGGAAAAATATTGACAAGAGCCTAAAATAGCTTTAAAATAATAGTATAAATTACTTTATCATTATTATTTTGCTCTTTATGTGCAGTTGAACCTGAATCTTCATTTATTTGTATTCTATGCTCAAAGGCTTTAAGCTATAATAATAATAATTTCCTAGATAAATATGGCTATTTAGGAAAACTTTTTCCATTATATCATAAATAATTCGGAAAAATATTGACAAAAACCTAATAGTTTTAAAATAATAGTATAAATTACCTTATCATAATTTTGTTGGGTTTCAATTTCCTCTTTAGGTGCAGCTGAACCTGAAGCTTCAGGCTGGTCCGTATTCGTACAACTAGCCGCTAGGATAAAGAATAGAAACCAAATAGACTTTAAAAACATTGTGTTATTCTATAAAGTATAATCTGAAGTCAAACTGTGAGGTAAAACGAATGAATTTTACCGTCTTTGAATGTCTATACTGATATATAAATATATAAAATATTAGATGTGGTCTGGATTCGAATTGACAGTATTCGCGAATGGAGTGTACTTTATTCTTGGATTTATATACACAGATGTCATAATATGTTTTTTTCAGTTGCTTTGTCGTTTGACATTTTAGAAAAACAAAATAAGACATTTTTAACAAATACCGTGTACGCAATATACAGAAAACGGCCATTTTACAAATTTTAACACAAGAGCAAAAAAAAAAAACAGTCTACAAAATGTAGGTTTTTGTCAGACAGACCGAATCAGATAGAATATCTTATAAAATACATACCGAGTTATTACTAGCTAATAATAATATCCTCAGTTGCTCAGACTTCAATGTATAAAAAAACAAAGTAATTGCTTTTGAAAAAAAAAAAATGAACAGTAGGTAAATAGTAGGAACTTTATGTTGTAATAAAATTTTACTTTTTCAAGCAAAGTTTTAGAAATTAAAGTCTGAAAATTAGACCAAAGGTAGAATTGAATTTATAACATATACAATTTAGACACTTATTAGAACAAGGGCCCGTTTCGGTTTTTTTTTGTAAAATCCGTTTTTTTTATAAACATTATTTTTTATTATTATTGTGGTAGAATATTGGACCAGTATGCACACCGGAACGTACTGTAATAAGAAAACATAATTTTATTTTATTAGAAAATCGACCTAATAAGTGTTATTTTAACTAAATTGTGTTTTTTTCAAATAAATGTTTAATTATTATTTATTTTGTTTTGACCACTTAAGTTCATTAAGTAATTTTGTTCGGCTTTTTCATATAAATACTTTCTCATATGCGCTGTTTGTATTGTAGTATTTTCATAATATTTTTTTTAGGTTATATCTATAACTTTGAAATTAATAAAAATATTAATGTTTGTAATAATTATCTAGAATTTATCAAATTACTTAAGATGGATATTTAATTTAATGTAATATAACCAAAATCCGAATCATTCGTTGTCCAACTTTGACCAAAAAAAACTTCAATTTTAAAACACTTTCAACCTTTCTCCCGGGGGTAGGGAGTTTATTAAAATATTTTCGAACACATACAATTTCGACACTTTTGCACACATGAATGTTTTAGTATATTACTTTTTAACTACCATCAATAAATATTCATAAATGTAGTATTAAATTTTAAGCAGAAAAATACGCCGATCTAAAGACAAAATAATATACAAAATTGTCAACGTTTGAATTTTTTTTTTTTGTGCACTTCATTTTTAGTAAAATATTCTTAATTGAAAAAAGTTAATAAAATATCCACGTTATCATTTAAAAGTTTATATAAAAACAATTAGTTCGGGTGGGGTTAAAAACATAAAAATTTGTGAGGTATTGAGATCACATTGTTTAAAAGCATTATGCAAAAGAAAAATTCAATTACTAATTAAATCCTTTGAGATTTAATAGTGAGATTCAATAGTGGCTCACGATAAAAAATCACACTGTATAATATCTATAATAAAAACGCATGACAGTAATAGGATAACACAAGAAAATGTGATTTTCAGAGGACATAAGACGGCAAACGTTTTTTTTGTACATCTAATTACATATTTTAGTTTGAGGTAATTTCGTTAGATATATTTCAAGATTAAGTCAATATAACAACGTGACATTATGACATGGATGACAAATTTAACAAAGGAACGGATTATCCATGTACACAATGTTTAAAATAACATAGTTACAATATTATAAACAAATAGTTTTAAAAAATAATCATAGTAATAAATAATAATAGTTAACAAAAATGCGCGTTGAGTTAAAATAAAAATAAACAAAAACGCCTTACTAAGGTTACTAGGAAACAAAAATGTAAATGTAAATAATTGTTTTTAAAAAAATGTGTTACGGAAATCAATAGGTTTTTTTTTTGTTAGCCAATCAAAACAAGATTAAGCCATACATTTTTGTAAAATCTTAGGGATTTCTATTAGTCGGTTGGCGTCCACACAAGAACAACGTGGCTCTTAGAATGTCTTCCCTTAAGTGTTGTCGGAATACCGATTTGAACGTGCACACGAGAAGAGTTTCGGCCTTATCCCGAATGTAGTCCGGAAGCGTTGTGTTCGTCTGGACGGCTAACCGGACGTTGCCGGCCGTGCGGTCCCTTATAGCGGAAAATGCCTTCTTTAGCCATACGTGGAATTTTTCATCCGAGTTGCCAAAGTTGCTGAATACGCAAATTATCACCGATCCGTTCGCCGGCAACATGAGGACTTCGCCGACGGCCATGGGTTTTATGTTGATCTTCTCCAAAAGTCTGAAAACAACAAAATAATCAGGGAAGACTTTGAGCGCACCCGAAACGGTCTGGATTTCAGAGTGTTGGTAGTGTTATCATGTTAACTGTACGGGTGGTGGGGGGGGGGAGATAATTCTTAACCAACGAGTGTTATCAAAATTCAAATTACAGGGCTTTGAATGGATATTTAGCGTCCACCAGCTCGACGACTTCGTCCCTCCAATCGTCCATCAGCATGACTTGCATGTCGATGAACATTACAATACCGTAGCCCATGACCAGCTGCCAAATATTTTCCTCTATCGTCTTTACGGCCAGACTGATTGGACGATTTGTGGCAACGGCTGTTGAAAAAGCAAAGGTGCATTGTGTTTAATACATTCGGAGAGTAGGTAAGAAGTACTTAAAACAAAATGTCAATCAAACGGAATGTATCCGAGTAGTCGGATACTAGTACATCCGCTGCACGGAGGTATAATTAAGTGATGGATATGTCTTTATGATGTACTAGTATAATATAGGATCCTGGCACTTTGGTACCTCCATTACTAATCACTTATCCCTAATCGTTTATCTATTATCTCTATTATCTCTATTATTACTTCCCAGGCTTCTGTTGATCGAGTGAAGTTGCCGGTCGTCACTGGGTTCGCCGCACAACCAAAGTTCGCCGTCCCTTTTGTTGAACACTGAGCGGAATTCTGTTTGAAAATCGCGCGCGAGCAATCCGCGCTGCACCGCCAAACACCTGTAACCGGACAGGCAACGCCGGATCATCCGAAGTCCTTTTTCCATGTCGGCCGACCGCCTGCGACTGGATTCCGCGGAACGTGTGTCCAAAAACAAGCAACAAACGTTTACCACGTTCATTCGGATTATAAACACCAGGGCGAGTTTGCCGTACTCACGGTTGAAGCGCAACAGTCTACAACAACGAATAACATCACACATTGCGCGTTACTTGGGAAACGTTTATGGCTACAACAATAAAACTATAAAAAATTAACACTCGTTTTCTGGACAATTGTAACAACGCGTTTAAGTTTTCACTCCCTCGTGTAAGTTTGGAACAGTGGCATATTTACAAGAGATGAGGTGATCAGGGTGAAATTTGGAGCCTCTATTTTTATAAATATATTATTACTTATCTGTTTGCTAAGTAGAAAAATCTTTTTTTAACGTACCTATACATTTTGGACGATATGAGACAAAAAACAACAACATTTTTTTGAAATATATTAAATTTGTCCCAACTATTAACTACAAAAGTATAAAAAAAAATAATTAAAAAAAATAATACCTTCCAAGTTATTGTTGACTGGGACTTGGGTCATAGTTGACCAATCACTCGGTAATAGGTACTAGTTTAAGTGTTATATTTTTATAATATAGTGGTATAGCGTAAATTTTCATAATCCTATCCGCCTGACAAACATGTTTTTATGATAAGAAAACTTTTAAGCATAAGCACTAAGTACATTTATAGTCTATACAACTATTTTTGTATTTGAATTTAATAATTTTTTTTTTTATTTGGAAGTGTGCTCATCGCTTTCAGTTATATAATAGTTTTTAAAAACGTTTGACCTCGTTGTGTTAAATGATTTTTGTCTTAAATGAATTTATAGCTATGTCCATTTAATATACCTAGGTCAACCAAAAAATGTGTGTGCGCGCGTTCAACGTACAACCGGTGTTAATTTCTTAATAATTAGACTTTGGAAAATGAACAAGTCATTTTGGTCTCATTAGGTATATAAATGTTTCACAGAGACACATACAAATGCACTAGTTACGTTGTAAAATTACATTTGGTAAAACGACAATAATATTATGTTCCTTAAATTATTCCTTAAAGCTGTTGTTAATGTTATTTCTACAGTCGTTATTTACGTAAGTCGTAAAGCTTTCCTATTGTCTTGAATTTTTAAAATAAAAGGCGAGTGAGTCATTATTTTTTATTTGTATTTTGAACTACCAAAGTTATACAAATGGTTTCTAAGTTATTCTTAACTTTTTAAGAGGAACTAGTTTTTGTTAACTGTCCAACTTCGCCTAGTGCACGCTTAACCTACATATTACAATGCACTTAACATCCCGCCTACATATTTTTTAAACGCCAAAAGTATTTTTTTTTCTTTCAAAATTTGACCAGGAAATGATTTTATTAATTAAAAACACGTGGTTATTATTACTCATGAAGGAACAAGTATTTCAAATGTACACTGTTAACGGTTTCAGACCAATGGCCGTTATCGAGCATTTGTGAATTGACAAACAAGATGATGTCCACTCCTTCCTTCATCTCCCATACGTTGTTTCTGATTCTTCTTACTTGCGACATTTTTTTTTTTATTACTGTAATTTAATGCAAAAAAATATCAATCGAACTAATAAAATAATTTAAAAGGGTGTACGCCCAGATGGCCATAAGTCATCGAGAGAGTGACAAATGAAGAGGTACTAGATAAGATAAATGAAAAACGACAGTTATGAAAGAGTATTGAATCCAGAAGAGATAAGAAGATAGGACACATTGGAAGAGGAAGACCAAGGGCCAAATACATGACCCAATTAATGTAGGATATGAATAAAGGAAAATACAAGGACCTGGACGAATTAAGCTACAATAGACAAGCATTAAGAGCTGCAACGAACTAATCCAAGGACTAATAACTCAAAAAAAATTAAAATAATGTTAGGTAGGTACTATTTTGTTGGTTATACACTGTTATGTTACTGTTGTACGTACCGTGTTCTGGAGTGTAGGTAAGCTTAAAAAACAATTTACTATTAAACAATATGTAATAAATAATACGAAAATATTTATTTTCTTCGGTTTCATTGGCAATCGTTTTCACAAAATGTCTTAAATTTAATATGTCAAATTTTAAATATGCGTGTAATTATCAATCGTACGTTGGAACAAAAATAAGATTAATAGAAAAAATTATAATAAATGAGAAAATAAAAAGTTGTTCAATCATGTAAAATTATAAGTACAAATGGTAAATCAACGATGGTTTTTACAATTTTACATGGAGAACATAACAAAATAAAACTATCTTTTATTTCTATGATACTACAATACATATGATAGGTTCATAATAATTGAGTATAAACTACTAAGCAGTATATTATATAAATAATTTATACAAGTCAGAGATTGGGAATTATGATTGTTATTCGACATGCAATATTGTAAGCCATTATTAGGTACTGAGGTAAAAAAAAAAAATCCTACATTTATTGAACATGTATATGTACAAGTATTAGAGATAGTGCAAATGCAAAAACGCTTTGTAAAATCGTGGATTTTATTAAAATATATACTTCAAACAGGAGTAAATCTGTTAATTTGTTAATATGTTTTCAAAATATTATTCGTGTGTACAAATAATGTTTGGGACAACTCAAGACAAGTATTTATTGTTATTAAAATTATATTTTAAATACAATATAATATAATTTTTATAATAATAGCTGCAAGATAAGTTATACAATAAATATTAGCAAACTTCACTTTTTATGATTAATCACCACAAAATGTGATTGTTCGTAAACGCAAATACTGTTAATTTCACAGATCAAGTTTAAATGTTGACCAATTTCACAGTGGCAATTGTATGTAAAGTGCGTTTGAAAATATCTCAAATCCAAAGTTACACTTAAAATATTCAAGTTTGTATAATTAAAAAGCAATTATTTTACAAGTGTGTAATAATTACAAAGAAAAAATGTTTGTATACAAAGGATAGATTAAAAATATATGTTTTAATATGTATTTGATTAACAAATATACAAACTATGCTTAGACGTCAAAATACAGGAAATGAGAATACTGTTGGAACAAAAATCAATTAAAATTAATATTGATTGAACATGTTTGTATATTTTTTAAATAGTCTTAATGACATTATAATTGTAAATAGTGGAAAACCTTGAAAAATAATACAATTATACTACATCTGTCATTTATATCTTATCAAGACTTATAATACAATAAAAATGGCATCTTTATTTTTACTATGATAAACATGGAAATGTATAATAAATAATAATAAAAATAAAATTGAACAATTTTTTTTTTATGGTTATTATGCCATTATAGTTTCCTCATAGAAAAAGAGAAAAAATAAATATTTGTAATTCATTTTAATTAGATAATTGTATACAGAATAAATATATGTACTTTTTTCTTATATTATTGTTATTATTAATTTAATTTAATTAATAGATATTTAAAGCATGTCAAATTGTTTTTGTCACTAGGGATACATAGACATTAACAACAAAGAAGTATACTGCCTAAACCTAGCTGAAATAAGACACCTCGTTTCAACAAAATCTTAAAATAATAATTAAATTATCGAATCCGAATGCTTAAAATCTGGAAACTTTTTAACATAAATTATTAAATACTAATCGGAAAATAATAATAATAAACACATTCCACGAGTGACTTTTGGCAGTAAATATTAATAATTAAAGAAAAACACAATATTCATTTTACAATAAATTTAATTCTGGCCCTGTCGATGTAACCTTTCGACATACAAATCAAACAACAATTTATTACTTTCATAATAATATGGATTTTGGTCTGAAGACAGATCTGGATCATACTGTAATTGTTCTTGATTTTCATTGCTATTATTATGTTGGGCTTCTAAATTGTTATAATTAACTGCAACCGAATGTTGACTATTGAATAATGACGTTGACGCATCCTGCTGGGTGAAAAAAATTATATTAAATTATATTATATGTGATATTAAAATAAAAAAACAAATTAGTGGCCGAAAGCATTTTTCCTTGTTTTGCTACAATGTGGCTTAAACTAAATAGCGGACACGATAAACCTTTTTTTTTATATTTAGTTTAATATATATTCTATATTTTATCTTGTAACTTGATGAGGTAATATATATACATGTATATAATATATACTACGTTTATATATATACCAATGCCTTTCCCCTCATGATTACCTCATTGTAGTTACAAAATAAATTAACGAGAATACAAACTGAATTCAACAGCTAGGGCTCGGAAGAAAAAAAAGAAGATAACAAAAGGACAGCGAATAGAGGAACAGAAAAAGAGAAATCAGGGTGGGTCAGCCAAGGAAGGAAAAGATAAAAAAATGTATTACTGGAACAACAAAAAAGTAATAAAGACAATACTAACCCCGTGGATATTGTCATTTAAAAGATCTCCAGTTACAGGTGCATCTAATAAATACATGCTGTGCATGCGCTTTGACAGTGGTTTATAGTCATCATCATAATCTTCTAGGGATCGTTTCCTTAAAAAAAAAATCAAGTTTTTATATTCAATATGCCAGTCAGTCAGTATATCTGTATAACGACTACATTGACCGTATATTGATAATGTCATACGTGCTACAATTTCGATATAACTACCTGAGAACTCGAAGCGCATCGGCAGCCATTGTAGATGTAAAAGTGTATCGAAATATGATTTAACGAGATCAAAAGAATTGTTTTTATACAATGAATAATGTTAACTTGTTGTTGTCATGACGTTTGTTTTTGGTTATTGTTTGACTTCGACGAACGGAATGCGTTTGATCAGTAAAATGCAATTGCCCAAAGAACTATTACATTGTCTCTGCGTATTTAATTGGATACTGTAACGTTACCCTATTTACCAGGCGAGTTAATCAATCATGAAAATATTTTAAGATCTCAACTTTTTGAAACCCACGTCTATGAAAAAAAAAAGGTTTCTCGAGCTGGAAAATTAATAAATGCGTAAATACTGATAATCAAACATCAGCTGACTCATTGTATTTGTTGATGATAACGCTGGAAATCAGCTGATCGACAATTGCCAACAAATGACAATAAATTAGTAAAATATACCTTTATTAATAAAATCATAGATTTAAATATACTTAAATAATAATCTATGATCAAACAAACAGGAAAGCGGACTGTTCAAACGATTGAGTTGCCTAAGAACACACTAGTTTACCGGTCAATACGCGAGTACAATAGCAAATAGAAAATTTGAGGTTTGATATAGATTTAAATACAGAGTAGAAGATAATATGTAGTTCCCAATTACCAGTTTGTATTAATAATTCACCAGTTAATAATACCAATTCATATAATAATTTTACATGGCAACTATCCAATAAGTAATAGGTATGCCGGTTAGTTGTGATAACCGCATAATGGCAGTTGCTGATGGCGGTCAGCCGAATATTTTTTGAGGAGAATGACCGGCAGCCATGTTGTGAAAATTGATAACGTTAGTTGTGGGCATACCTTTGTCCTTTTATGTAGTACAGCTAATCCATAAAGACCATAGTGCATATATGTCATATAGATATTGATTGTATTTCTATGGGATAATCGAATCAACTAATTCTTAATTCTTTAAAGTTTTATTAACACATAGTTGTTTTCTTTTCTTTTAATATGTTTTATTAAATAGTACTACAATGTATAAGAAGTTCTTTTTAAATTTTACACAGCATACTTTATAGTTTATAAACTTTATACATTTTGGACTTCGTTTTCTTTATCAGTTAGATTTTAACGGATGTTTTTCTTATCACATAACATTGCATAGTGTTTTCTGCAGCCTGGAGAGCTGCTATAAACGTATAATCTGTGTAAAAGCTAAATAATATACATTTTCGAAATTAATTCAACTTAAATTTTATAAAGTTTTATCCAAATAATACATTTTAACCAAAAAAAATTGTGTATCTGGTTTAAGTATCCATCAAGTATCTAACTTTAAAAGTAACGTTTATTATTTTCGGTTTAATACCGTTCTGATTGTAAGCATTGTTTTGTTTTTTTGTAGTATTTTAATTTTCAATAATGGAAGACTACAATGGATATGATTCGAACTTCACTGAAGAAATTAGTAAAAAGATGCAAGTGCCAAAGAGCATAAGAGCAAACGGAGATTATTCTAACTTCCGGCCAACTAGTTTTTACTCTGACGAAACTAATCCCTATGGCGATAATTTTGACATGCAAGTTCCTGAAAAAATCGTACTTTTAGGTAAAAACCAATTTTAGTTAAATGTATTACCTTTTTTTGGTAAGTTACAAGCTTATTGTATCGTAATGTTTAGCTAGAATTGTATATGTATGTGATACCTGTATTTTTTTTCTATTATACACTTTTAGTTTGCAAAATTTGTTAAATATGTTGGCTTAACATACAATTTAATCAGAAAATATTAAATCAAATTGCCTTTTCCATCCCTTCGGACTAAATGATTTAATCAGTGTCTTATTGCAATATAAACTATTGCGTTTAATCCCTTTTTTAAGACTACATATTTCGTTAAATAAAACTTATTTTTTTATTATTTTTTTTTCAACAATACTTCAATACTTACGGCAAGACAATTCTAGTTCTGTTGTTATAGCTATGTTATGAAAAAATGAGTTTTTCTTTGTAAAATCTACTAAAAGGATCTGTTTAAGTATATTTTATTCATAGTATTAAATGTTTTAAAGTGTTAAGAGCTTTTATATAAATGTATGTTTTCATTTAACGTGCATAGGTCACAATCAACATATGGGTACTTCATCAAAACCAAAAGAATTTGCGATAGACGATATAATCATACCACAACCCCCACCTGAAGAGATACTTCGCGTTCAAGTAAGTTTTCATGTGATACAGTGAAACCTGTCTTAGACTGAACCGCACAGAACTAAAAGAAAATTCTGTATTGAGCAGTTTTCGGTTTTATTGAGGGTCTGTCTAAGACAGGTTTAATTGTTATGATACAAAGTGTTGACTTTGTTTAGATAATAAAACATTTGCTAATTTTGTTTTACCATTAGTGTGTTATATACATAATTGGCTACACACAACTATAGCTAATAAAATAATAATACTAATACCTTAATAATTGTGTTGCAGACTCCACCGTCAAAGATTACTATGTCGAGACATTACTTTCCATCTGTTTTGGACGATTTTGATAGAAAGCACACGCAGTCCGAACAAAGTATTCCACCAGAAGTACAACAATCTGACGGCGTTCTTAATTCAGTTCAACAAGGCGATTTAAAGTATGAACATTTTTTCTAGTATTATTAAAATATAAATTACTATTTTTTCATTTAAGATTATGGTTTTATATTTTTTATAATTAAAAAAAATTCAATGTTAAAACGGGATTAGGACAGGGAGAAAAGACGCACTGTATGATATGCTTTTTATTTAGCATTGCATTGGAATCAGTGGCTAGAGGTTTGTTAGACACTGACATAGGGATTAGACTACAAAATAAAAAAAATTAATTTAATAGCATACGCGGACGATATTGTGTTAATTGGAAATTAACACAATATCTTTCCAAGACAGAGGAGCAGAATTACTTAAAGAGAGAAGCCGGTCTAATTAAAGGTTAAAAAACAAATATGTATGATATTATGGTGCAAAAGTAATCATCAACAAAGTTTAGTGGTGAACGGAATGCTTTTTAAAAGAGTAAATACCTCGGGGAAGGAACTAAGCGTAAATAAAGATAATCACAGAACAATTAGGCATAAATGGAGATAATTACAGAGAACTCCAACAAAGAATTAGTACAGCTAACCCATGTTTCTTTGCACAAAACAAAATTATTAATATTTTAGTGTTTGTACGATATATTAATTCTATTCTTAGCTGTTTGAGATTATTTATTTATATTGTTTTATAATTTAAACATTTTTTTTATTCAGCACGACCTTTTTCAACGCGAGTTTAAGCGAACCGATGACATTGGCCGAGGAAGTTGCACATTTACGTCAGCAAATGAGTAGAGCGTCGAGGCGAATCATTGAATTGGAGCACAGAATGTCACAACCATTTTACGTTAGGGAAAAAAAACTCGTTATAACAATTGTGGGTAGCTATTTACTATTGAAAATGGCATCGTGGTTGACAAAACATTAGGAATCTAGAATCACTTCTCTCCCGAGTGTTTACGTTAATGCCATAATATTATAAACACTATTTCACATTTAATTTTTAACGGTTACGTTTACTTGGCTTTTATTATGTATCCTATAAATTATGACTTTTATTAGTAGTAGTTGCATAAATAATCATTGTTATGTATGAATACGTTAAAAAAAAATATTATTAGCAGTACTAAAATTGTGTGATGCTGATTTTTTCTAGTTTAAAAAATATATTTATTAACAAACCTAATTATTTATTCCCCCATATTATCGATAGGAATTAGTGACTGAATTTTTCAGAAAATGTTGCGTATTGTGTCTGTCCATATTTTAAAATGATTGACACGTTGTTTGTCAATCATTATTATGAAAAATAAAAAATATTAATTTTATTTATATATTTTCGGGCTACAAATGGATAATAATAATGATTATAAATATTATCTCCATTCGATGATAATTACTTTTTATTAGTAAAGGTGAATTTTAAAAAATAACTAATACTTAACAGAACGTGCTAACAGAGATTTAGCACGATTCGTAGGTTCATAACGTGTTACATTGGCTATTTAAAAACTTTTTGTATGACACTACTTAATAAAATAAAAACTTGTTTGTTATTTACATCCCTGTATTAAATGTATCGACATATTTAAAATACATTTCTTTTGAAATAACAAATATTATATTTTTTTCATTTCTAACGTTTGCATAAATACAAATTATAATGCGGTGATCTCCGTTTTCGCTTGATTGTAAATGTTATATAATTATAATAATAATAACTTTAATGACCAATTTGTTATCTATAAGCCGCTTGTATGTAACATAATCGATCAAGAGGTTTAAAAGCTTATTGAAGATCTTGACACAAAAAAAAGTTATATATATATAATTACCTCAATATTTTGAAACCAATAACTTTGCTTTGACGGCTCTGTATCGAAGATGAAAATGTTAAACAACTTTCGATTATAATTAAGTCACAAAATTAGGTTTAGGAACACTTTATGTTCACGCGTGTTTGATTAATATTCAAAAACAACATTGAACTTGGACGCTTGGAGAAAGATTGGGTACTTATTATTTTTTCTTATTATATTTTCTTTATAAAATTATCAAAATCTTCAATTCCTCTAGAAAACACATTGAGAGCGCTAAAATCGATATTTTCCTAGCTCCTGTATTTTTCCTTGACTTATTTCTTATAGATCAAAATTATTTTTCCTATCCACATTGTCTGTCGGTAGTTAGCTACATTGAAAAAAAAAAAGACTTAAATGAATATACTTTCTTTTAAGCTTGTATGTAATAACAGCTATTCTTGTTTTTTTCGCCTCATCCCATACAAACGGTATAGGCAAGCTAAATAAGCTCTCACAACAAATTTCTATTCATCACCATTTCATTATTCCCTCAACATACCTCCCCTATCTCTGTCTATCACGCCCATCCACATATTCTTCCTCGGTCTACTTCAAGGGATGGGCAAAATACAGTTACATCGATTTTAAGATACAATTAAACAGGTTATTTTGTATCTTGCATCGGAAATACACTGAATAGGGCCCATGTCTGTCCGCTTTGACTCCAAATACCTGTGCCGTGATTTCTAACTTGTTTTACTATTTCAAACCGTCTCAACCTGTTTATCTCTTTCGTATCTTCTGCTACGGCACAACTTCCAATATATGCTCATTCCTTGCTCTGTCTAAGTTCGGCTCGTTTTAGCCACTTCTATTTTCCTTCCCTCCCTCGTATCCATTGTTCGATTCCCACTTCCTTACAACGTTGCTGGTCTTGTATTGAAATGTACCTGTACATATTGAATGAAAAAATACATTTCTAAAAAAAAAGCGAGGTTCACTATAAAATATCAGTTGATTGACATAAAAAACGGTGAACAGAAAACGGAATTCACGATGCCAAAACAAATGTCAATTAATCTGTGGAAGTGATGATTTCATACTCAAATACTTAAAATTGATAAGTGTATATTGTGGTGTGAATCATAGATTAAATACATCAATCTCTATTATCTGTGTACGTAGTATTGATCAGTAAACTGTGTCACAAGGCAACTTATGGGAGTGAACAGTCCCCTCGTTTGAAATATATAAAAAGTTTGTGTAAATGAATAAAAAGCTTACTGACTAGATTACTGTTAGTGTTTACAATTCCTGAAGGCTGTGATATTGCTGTCTCACTGTACTAGCCATTACACGTTATCTATTTTAGGCTACATGTAGTCAACAGTTGCCAACATGTTGTTGTCCCGTTTGTACATACTTAACAATTTAGCTAGGTACTTCATAACATAGTTTGCGATACGATAAATAGTATAATTTAACCACTTGAATAATTGATTCAAAACGCTAACACATTTTATTTGTTGTTTCAGTATGTAGTTTATGCGAGTTGTGCGATGTCAAACATGCTGCTAAAGTTTTTCTAACAATAGTGGAAATAACTATTCTCATTATCTTTTCTAGTACCTTAATACGTTGTTTTTGATCATCTTCATTGTTTTAAATATTATGAACCCGAGTATTTCTGCAGTCTAGATACCGTTGTACTGGCAAACGAGCGAGACACGTGAATTCTTTTTAATAAGCTAAATCCTTCGTTACGGTGTGAAATAGCTCAATACTTACCAAGTCCACACCGTCTGCAAGTAACAGCCACAAAAACAATGGGATGGAAACGCCCGGCGGGTCCGCCTCGTGTGTGGCAAACAGTAAACGTGATTGAAGAAAACGGCAAAGCCCGCGTGTTCTCAATTGAAGAAATACCGGAAGGTCGATACGAACAAGCCTTGGAGCTTTTGGTTTCATGTTACATTCCGGACTATCCTCTGTGGAACGCTTGTAGGTGTCCATCACATGGTCGACTATGTAGAACAACTTAATTATCAAGTTAAATGTCTTTGGTAACAAACATTGGTTTTCGTTGCAGGCAAAACCCGCGATCCGAGCACAGTGGAATACTTTAGGAAACGGGCAAAACTGATTCTTCAACAGGGAATATCTATTGCCGTATTCGAACATCTTGCCGACGACGGGCAGACTTCCATTCTTGCCGGAGTCAACCTTCTTTCCTATTCGGATGACGATCACGCCAATGAATTAAAACAAGTCGAGGTAAAGCGATTTAGACACAGAGAACCACACTCGATTAAAATGTCAAGTCTGTCTATTCATCGAGTTCGCACTTGGCAACATATCATATTTTACTTCTCCCCGAGTCCTCTACAATGTGTCTCGACGTGGCTTTACTAAGAAAGGGAGGATGGTCATTATTAATAATATTTTTCGGTTTCTTTATCGCTAGGTCAAGTTGATCGCAAGGTTAACAACGGTTCATTAAAATTGTACAGACCAGTCACTGAATCGATATTGATTTATTAAACCAGCAATAAACGTTCTTAGTGTCTATTTGCACTTATTTGTTACTTTGTCACAACTCTCCCCGCGAAATTCTATACAATTATCTAGGTATAACATTCAATATATTCTGTATACAATATATTCTACCTTTAAATCTTCTATCTGTTGTCATTTTGACTTTCATTAAATTTCAACATGCCCAAATCTTCTCTAATCTATTGTCTTCAATTTTATGGCGCATTCCACTTTAATCATTAACGTTTTCTCGATTGATCTATCTTTTGTTTAATGTCCAAAAATTACTTCTATTTGCTATTTTTGGTCTCGCTAGTGTCACTCGGCATGTTCTATTAAATAAGAGCTGTGCCATAATTTGACAAGCAAATTTATATATATATATATATATATATATTATATATATCCACTGATCAATTGCCCTAGCTTTTAAGGGATTTTTTTTTCTTAGACATTATCTTCACCGACTTAATTATCTTTCTCATGATTCCGCTGAATCTGGTTCACTCGAAAACAGTTACAAATCGTTATTAATAATAATAATAAATGTGTACAGCGTTCCGGAGAAGTGATTCGATCGCGCGAGACGTTTTTCAATGGCATATACGATAAGTGGGATCCGAAAAAGTTGTACAAGCTCAACAGCTTTTTGGCTGATTGGGGTCTTGGCGTGAAACCGGCATACCGCAAAATGGGTCTCGGCCTACAAATGCTAGAAGCTAGGTTTGTGTTTTTCTGCGAGGTTAGATAATGATAATGCATTTGTGCATTTGTTTCAGAGGCAAGATTGGCCGTGAATATGATTTACCGTATACTTTCACACTGTTCGGCGCGTCTGCCTCGCAAAGAATTGCGGCAAAAGCAAATTTTTTCGAAATTTCGTCCGGAGATTTCACAGACCTGCAATGGCCAGAACTAGACGGTCAGACTTGGAAGCTAATGGGTAAACGTCTATTTTGAAAGCACGAGTACGTCCATCGGAAACACTATACGATACGATAATTTTTAATTCGTGTACAATTCTCGTCGTTAAAGGGTCATACAATTAAAACCAATAAAATATTATTAAACAGCTATGCAATTGTGTAGTACATCGTGTTTGGAGTACGAATTATCTACTGTATACCTAAGTCCATACCGTATAAAGGTGTTATCTATTGGGTTCGTCAAGAGTTATTCAAGTTAATCCATACTAGTCATCATGGCCAGAATAACCGATGATTAACGTTGTCTGTGGTATTAGGGACAATAATACTTTAAACAACTATCATTTGAGTTATTCAATTTTTTAGAAATCAATAAAGAATTTTGTTCACAAGAGCTGTTTGTAGCGTTATGCATACATCATTTCGGACTTTGTAATCGGCCACTGGGTATCCAATATAAGTATATTGGACATTAAATATTGAAAACGCATTTTCAATAATCGTCGGTGGCCAATTCAAAACAACCGAACAGTGTTTTGTTTGTTTGTTTGTGTGTATATGCGATTGTATAAATATTTACAAACGGCGCACAAATGCGTAGTGGGTGGATTCGATTGGATACACAACGGAAACTAAAATAATTATTCAAGAGCAATAATATAACACATTATACACAAACCGACAACAACAGATGTGCACAGCCCATCACGTCGTTCGACGATAAAGCACGGCGCAGATCGCAATTAAAAAAAATCGGTTCACAATAAAAAAACAAAATTAACAAATCCATTAAAAGACTTAAGCCATAATATTTTCTTGCAATAATTACTTTTGGACGAATAATATCCGTTAAAGTCCGGTCCCGTGAACATTAAGGGGTTTGGTATAGGCAATTTCCCTACAAATCCTAATTTGTAGGGAAAATATTAATTTGAATTATTAATCGATTTCTTGATTCGTTATGACTAGGTTGTTTGATTTTTGTTTTTACCGCTGGTTAACTTTATTTCTGAAGTTTTGGCTACTTAATTTTTATGTCTGACATAGGCATTAAATCAGTAATAAGATTGAGCGCCCAGTCATTTTAGAATTTAGTTTGTATTGTTGGTTTTTTTTTTTGTGAATTACTGAATTTTTACTGCACTCTACTTTGCTATATTCTTCTTGTTTTTCAACTAACTAGCCAAAGGCTTTCGCCTCCTCAATAAATCTTCATCCACCGCCAATTTTTTATTCACCTCACTCATTCCCTTGCCTTTATTATATTATAAAATCTAACTTCTTCTTCGACCTACCTCCACCTCTAGACCCATTTGCACGTCTAATCTTTATGTCGCTGTACTACAATAGAATATTTCTAATAAAATACATAATAATATTACAATAACATAATTAATCAAAGTCAGCCACAATAAAAATGAATTGAACGCTTTTAAACAATTCACATTTCAGTCAACGAAAGGCGCTCATACATACCAATTAGTATATATTTGAATAGCAGTAGATCTTGTAAGTGTCGAAGGGAAGGAAAACTCGCTGTTAGTTCAGTAAGTAACTTTTTAGGGGAAAGTGTATAGTAATTAGTAAAGATAAACGAATGGGGGGGGGACGTCAATGCAATTTATTTAACAGAAAAACCCAATAAATTTTGTATTTTATTTAATTACGTAATACAATTACTTAATACTTCAATTACGAATACAAATTGTGGCTTATTTTAATTCAAAAAAACCCAATCATATGTACGGTTATCTTATTTGCTTACAATAACCTTACTTGACATTAATAATTGAGTAACTTCATTTAATAATAATGTTTATCTTGAAAGGTTTCTTGTAAGAATACTACACCGCCAATTCATAAAGCAATAAGGAAAAAAAATTGTTTAATATAAATTTATATCAAGCTAAAAATATATTCATAATCACATATTATTACAGCAATTAGAAATCCGCCATTGATTTTTAATATTTGTATTGAATACAATACAGTTAATTAATGTAATTCGCAAATTTTTATCACAAAACATGCTACAGAAGGTAAAAATATGTTATTTATAACCAAATTAGTTTTCTAAAGTTTTTAGGGTAATAAATAAATATAATTTATGTTTTTCTCCGAAAAAATAAGATCCTAAATTCAATTTAATAATTATACTGAAGATATTTTTCACGAGTTCTCGTTTAGCCAAGCGGAAGGCCACATAAGCCGGACAAAGCTAAAATATATATAATATAATAAAACACTTAAATGTAAACCAATAAAATTTTACAATTTTTAGTAAAGCAATTAATAATAAGGATGTAATTTTAGTAATTGCTATCGCCGTTGGGACCGACAAATACAAACTAAGGTACAGTCTCAGCCGTGAATGAAGTTTTTTAATAACATGAGGATGCGCTCCAGTCGGTTTTTTCATTGCGGTTTTTGTTTATACAAAATATGTTTTAAGGTTAGGCGTAGGTTACGGTGTCAAATTCTATATTTTCGGGTTGACCATTTTTATGGTAAATCAAAATCTATGTTAAGCTCAGCTGTGGCAAGCCTGTTTTTTAGTCAAACTCGCATTCGTGTCACCCAGAACCAGATACGAACAGGCGGATTGCGACGGTAACGTTTGTTTTGTCTTTATAATGTTAATAGGCCAACGAAAGTGAATTAAAACTTTCGAAACTAATAAAAAACAAGTTCGACGGTAAATTCGTACATCGTTTATTAACACAAACTCGTTACACGGCCCATTTGATTACATTGTAGGCATTAATACCTTTTAATTAATATTAAGTAGGATGTCTTCAGGCTTGTTAAGTGCTATTACAAATTATTGTTGTCCGCCGAGTGGGTGTTACATTGCCAGATGGATTGGCTTCCAGTTAGGATTTACATATTGTACGGTTTGTGTATATTTTAATGTTTAGTTCCGCTTTGTGCTACCAGCTAATAGCTATACCTCTTTTATCTACTCGATTTCTTACAATTTCTTATTCCGTACAACCCAGTCGATTCTCACATCCCTACAAACATTTTCAATAATTCAGCTACTTACATTTTATCTTCGCCTCTTTTATTCTAAGTCCAACACTAGCTTCTATTCGTCTTTGCTGGCCTAATTTCAACTTTGGATATCAATTATAAACGTGCACCAACTCTAAAAACGTGTAAATTAACCGTAGGTACCTAACAAAAATTACATTTCATAATGACAACAAAGACAATTTATAAAACCAACCACCGTTAAATGGGTACTGATTTAACCTGATTTTGTCTGATTTGGTTGCACATTTCACATTGCATTGGCTTGCGGAGAAACCATTGTGTTGTATAGTTTGAAAATAATATTATTATTCTAAATTTTTTATGCAAATAAGGTTTTTTTTGGAGATGACATTGAAATTATTATTCCTAGAACTGAGATAATTGAGGCTTTGGCATTTTTCTAGAAAAATATTTAAATATTGGCTTTTGCTGAAAAAAATTCATTGGAAATCGTTAATTGAAAATCAGCAACTCCGCACTTCTAACAGCTTGATCACATGTTTTAAAAAAACACTAAGTGCGTTTTATATAACAATATAATATTCATGCATACATTTTTATTTCACCTGCATTTATTGTAGTAAGTTTTTAGTCCAAAAGTCTGTCTTATTTATTGGTTTATAAATTTCCAAATATTGCATCCAGGCCTTAAATTCAAAATTCATATAAACACTATGTACCGCATTACAGGTGTCAACAGTTGATAATAATATAATTATCAATGTCAATGCGAAACTGACGGTAACTATACATACACAAGTTACAGGCATCTTCCGGTTTTAAAGGATAAAATGGGTTTTCCATTGAAAACTATTTTTTTTTTTCACTCAGAGCCTCGACTTATTTGAAGCGGAGGTCGAAATCATTAGCATACCTAAAATAATATACTGTTACCGCCTTGTGCTGATCGGTCTGTACTCTGTGGGAAGGATACACGTTAAATTTGCGGAAAATTCATAATTACCGACTTCACAGAGTCCATAAACCCGACACGGGTCACGCTACACCAAGGTGATCAATTTAAGCAGGATGTAAACAAATCCCCAGATGCGAAGTATGTGTTTCTTATAACCGAGATCATTTTTCGTTGATTACTTGTTGGACATGACGCGCTATACAGGTAGGTACTCGCCGCTTGGTTAAATTAGAAAACATCTATTACAGTACGTTAACCCACCGTGACGCAATGTGAACAGATAGACCGAACGATTCTAGCAAAACTCTTTAATTTATTAAAAAAAAAAAAAAAATGTTATAATCGAAAATTATTTGATTATAGTTTTTAAGCGGAAAAAAAATAATACTGAAATTGTCTAGGTTTAACAGCTAGTAATTAGGACAATATTAGATTAAATTGAACGTTTAAACCAAATATACATATTTTATCTATTAATAATCAAAATTTATTTTAAAAAATTATACAAATAATTTTAGCTTTAGAATTAAATACATTTCGATATTAACAATCGAAACAAATAACAAATAACTGAAACAAAATGATTAAAAAACATTACACAACAATTTAACGTTAAATGTATTTTATTGTATTATCATTATTACTTTTTTAATTAATGGTTCATTTTTTCATTTATTCTATACTAATTTTGAGTATTAATAATACTTAGTTGTTAAGCTACATAATACCAGTTAAAAAAATATGTGTCCTGATAATTATAAACAAACTAAAACGGACTTATTTGAATTGCCTCTAAGATAGGTTTGGAAGAAATTCTGTTAAAAAAGTTCGCCTACCTAGATTTTGGAGACAATTTGGGTGCATCCAAAACTGTTACGGGTTGATCGTTTATGCCGTGATTGCTACGAATTCTAAAATAAAATGTTTGAAAGACCATTGTTAGCTTTTTTGTTATTTATTTAAGAGCCGAACATGACAACATTTGTACTGAAACACTACGCACCTACGTGGGAGTATGGCGTGTAACATCTGGTATCAATAACGTCATAACAAAAAACATATTATATTGCGTCTAGATGTTTTTGTGTGCACATTGTGGCTTTCCGGGATCAGAATAATTTGCTTTGGAGCGCAGTATGGTGATGGTGGAATTTGTTTGTATTTTATTGTCGTTAGCGGTGGCTTGTCAGTGTACTATCGGAG